CTGTTCAGATCACTGAGTACATAAAGTATACATATTCAAAAATCCATTCTCGTGTTTGATTTATTTAGTTCGGTCAGTCACTAACACAAGTCAATGATTTTATACGAGGATTGGCAACATTTATATTTCAAAAACAATGATTCACAAGATCCTAATGGAGTCAGATTTCGGGCCAGAAGAAGTCTATAACATGCTTGAAATAAGGTGATATATCAAGAGGACCAAATTACAAGTAGCAAGAATAATAAAAATTACATCTACAGAGAAAAAGTAAACAGAACGTGAAAATGGAGAGAGTGAAAGTAAGTCTTTACATTTAAGAGTTGAGAAAGAGGGGTTATCGCTACATAAAATGTATACATGGGGTAATTTTCACAATCACATACACACATACAAAAGTACCTTGCAACAGAATATCACTTGCATGTCTTCTCATCATTCGCTACTCAGATTTTCCATCAGAGTAATGAGTCAAATTTGAGATACACACTGTTTGATTGATTTAAGGACAACTAATGTTTAAATTTAGAATTCACTTCTGCAACTTATTCTTGAATTTAATAGACCAAGAGGACAAATGAGTTTAAAAAGTTTCGATGTGAAAAAATAAGCATTAGTGGTCCCAACACTTCGATACCATTAACATATATCTTGTATGTCTCCTTCAGAATACAGTAGGTGATATATATATGGCTAAATATCTATTTTCTTTAACGTAGTCTGTTTGGTTTGTCTTATTTATTTTATACCTGCATATAACTTGTTTCCGTTTTGTAATTTTACTACTTGTTAATACCGTTTCGGTAGGGACTACGAATCTACTAAAGTACGCGAGCTGCTGTTAATCAATTTGACGATCTCTCAGAGTGCCAACATTGAATGAATTTTTGTAAATCCTAATATATCTATTGATCATTTTTCATGTACCGTGTAGCGTATTTGGATTCATTGTTTGGCAGGATTATTATTTACAAAGTTTACTGTTTTTCATAGACGTAATTCAATATAATGTGTCATAAACAATTATGTTTTAGGAAAAATAGGTGGACAATATTCACCCGTTAGCTGGATTTATTCAGTGAATTTCACAATGTAGAAAAATTGAATAGTCAATGGACTGTGGGCATTATTACCATTTGTTACATTTTAATATTCATTCACTTATGGACTTAGTGTTGATAATAATTGCTGAGCTACTTCGCGTAATTACAGATCATTAATCGAACAGCTATAAACTCATAAAATACCTCCCCCTATATTGTATTGAAACTATTTATTTCAATCTCAGATTACTTACTTACAGTCTTATTATTTATTAACTTTAATCCATTCTTCTTTGAACAGGTTGAAAGCTCTCGAGCTTGTCTAACCGCTTTGAATATTCAGTAAAAGTGTCGTATTCAACAGTTACTAATAAATTTCTGTTTATTTAGAAGATGTGCATTAAATATAAAAGTTAATTTTCACTAGAGATCTGACTTAAAGCTTCGACTGTTACTATGCTTGAATTTTTCATAGGACGTGTTTGCATGTCAATACTCAAATGTAAATAACTTCACATGTTTGAAATAAAATCTTTAGTAAAAATTACACTCTTATATTCCCCACTCGGCCATCAAATTAACTAAAAAATAGATGGTTGTTAACAATGGAATTTAGGACGCACGTTTCGTTCTATTTGGGACTCGTCGGTTGGATGTACCTGCATCCTTGAGTTGATATTCACCCCCAGGACTCGAACTCAGTACCGTTCTCTTCAAACGCTATCGTGTTACCTACTTAACTGCTGAGTTCTGGTTGACACTAGCAGATGAATGAAATCACAATAAAAAGCGTGACAAGTAAATATGTCATATTTAACTTTGTTTCATTCGTTTTGGGTAATTATTAACTTTTATCCACGTAAAGTTTCATACACATGTGAATGTTTGTATTGTCTATTTACCTATTTTATCTTGATAACCATATAAATTAAATCAAAAATTTATAGACTGATTTGATTATGAAGTCAATATACATACTACAACATCAATTCATATATCAGAAAGTACACATATTTTTCACTACATTTTCGGTTACTGATGAATTTTAAGTGCGATTTGATGATCAATTAGAAAAATCATAAAGACCAATTATCAGGTTAAGGGATGTAGATAATTTGTGGATCAAAACAGAACAGGTTTAATGTTGAAAAAAGCTTTTATTTATATGTATATTTCAGATTGGTGGTATTGTTTATAAGGATAAGGAAAGCTTCACGATTGAAAAACCTATTATTAAGCACACGATTTCAACAAAATCATCCTATTGAACTGTGAAACCTATCCACCAACATAGTCATAATAGTCTTCCAATCAATCATAATCAAAATAATTTATACATATGATCAGATAAAATTTAAGTCTTACAGCTAATAAAGATCATCTTAAGACTGAGTATCTCAAAAATTTATAATGTTTGTTCTAAAAGCTCATTTATGCTTTCTAAAACAGCTTTTAGTAGCATAAATTAGATGAGTGAGTTTTAATTTACTGAAGTGGCTCTGTTCACTAAAACATTCTGTTGAAATTATTTATGTGATTTATATTGTTTCATATTGTTAGTGTTCATGAGAAGTGCCGACATTAATTTTATATTAAAATTCTAAATGTTTTACAATCATATTAGTGTGTACTTTATGATTAGCAGCTACTAATGTTTTGAATTTGTGAGAAAGTATCGTGTGTACACTTTCGTGTTCATTCTTAGTGATAAAAAGTGGATGAGCATTCGATTACTGGGTAATTACTAATAATAAAATTGTTGCATAAAGGAATGGGATAACTATAAATCATGTACTCACTAGTGACTGGCTTCAAGATGGATTTCCTGGAGATTTAGTGAGGAGCTATGACCAGTGGAGTTCAATCCATGTTGGTTAGAGACTGGTATCTAGCTCAGGCAATGGATGAATGGTTGCGCAAGATCATGGATCGATTTAGGTCAAATGTTGACATCTTTGGATCCCGGCTCAACGGTCTAAAGATTAAGCGTTCGTGCGCAAGGTTGTGGGCACACATTGTTGAGGAGTCTCATACTAGGACAAAACGGTCTTTCAGTGCTTCCAGATTTCCAACGATGGTCTAGCCTAAAAATGACTAGTGAATTCAACCATTAAAAATTACTAAAATCTCCACAAATACCTACTTTAATAATAATATTAAATTACTTTGTAAATTTTCTTGAATTTTGAATGTAAAAACCTATCTATTAAATAGATCGTTTATCTTGTTAATGCAGTTAGCTTTCAAGGAATGTCAACATAATAAAATATGTTATGACTCGTAAGTTGAACGTTTTATTCGGATCCTAGCTATTCGGATAACCCCAGGTTAGCACTACTCAGCGACTTGGAAGACCAGAGAGAAGACACGAGTATCAGAGATGCACTTTACTACAAGGTTCAATTATGTACAGAAAAACAGGGGTTTTATAGTAGCTAAAAGACCTTGAGATCCCATAGTAACAGTATGTTAACAGCCAATCAGGACCTTGTTATTTTAGTAGCATAGCTTCTAACTAATCGCTGATTGGTTGGTCTCTTTATGAGCCTCTCTGGAGGCTCTGATAGAGTTTATTGTAAGCCGATCTAACAAAATATTGGGTGGATTTTTAATTGATTTTCGTCATTGGATGACGTCAGTTGGATTGTCAATGAAAAGCTTAAAAGAGCAGACAAAGTTCTCCTCTTAATATGAAAGTACTTAACTGTGCACCGCCACTTTAGCATTATAGACTGAACATATAATTTTCAAGTCTCTTAGTCAACGCATTATCTTTTAAACATTAAGTTCCAATTCGAAAGTTTACATTAAACAAATCATCACATAATTCATCAACTAAATGTGAACTTTTAAAAAATATTCTAGGCATACTAAAATATCAAATTTCCTAATTAGATTTCTTTTACCTTATAATTTATGTTACCTTTTTTCTAAAAGATTTTATGATGTCATTTTTATACTTGAAATTCATCCCCTTTACTAATAAAGCCATGATACATTATTGAATAAGTAGTTAATAGATATAGATCAGAAATAACTTAAATATTTTAATTATCGTTTGTTGACTATTTTCAATAGTGGTAGACTAAATTTATAAAATAGTAACTATGTAACATTTATAACTGTATTATTTGTCACTTATTGTTACTGACTAAGTAACAATGATATCATCAAATTTATATGATAATTATATAAAATTTTCACTTATATAAATAGCAATTTAGTAAAATGTATTATTATAGTGTTTTGTACTTTTTATTTTCTTCTTTTCAAGCCAACTTATTTATTGTCAGTAAGGGTTGTGGAGATCGTTGAATTTCATTAAAATTATTGACCGATCTAAATTAGACCACCAGTGAAAACTTGGAAGCCCTAGACAACCGTTTTAACTTAGTTCAGGACTTCTTAGCAGTGTGTATCGACGACTACTCATTCGGAAATCGAACTCAGAACCTTCGGTCTTGCACACTTGACACTTGACGTCTAGACCAATGTGTTGGCATCCAATGGTGATAGTATATTGTTATATTCCGAATAGAATTGTGAATGATAACTTTGAGGACTATTTATGGACCAATGTGATAAGTATATTTCCTATTGTACAATTGCTAAGTAACTTAACTATCCATATTCATCTTCCTTTTATTATAAGCTCTATTTTGACCTATGAATTATTATTATACGTTTTACCATTCTTGAGTTATCCCCAGTCTATTGATTACAGTTTCCCCTATTCACAGCCACATTTAGCCAAATCTTGTACAAATCTTATTTTATATTTTATGGTGCGATGTGGTCTCTTTGATTGGTACATAAACCCAGTATGTTTGAGAATAATGATTCATATTGCAGAGGCTGTTATTGGTGTTCTGGAATTAGCTGGCTGGGTTATGCAGAAAGCAAGACTGACAAGTAATAAAGACTGTTCATACGGCTTTTGTGTATCATTGATCCGATCGATAATTCGCTCTTCTCTCATTGGCGGGAATTAGCACGTTTATATATCAAACAGGGCACACACTCACTCACACGTTATAACAATCTAGCTTCAATCAATCCAAGGTATTACACAATCATCTTACATTACCTTCGGTGGCTAGCTACCTCACACTCAACACAGTTTAACTCCATTGGTCATAACTTCTCATTAGAATTCTGTAAACTGATGAAACGGTCGTCTACTACTTTTCATCATTTATTTTGTTCATCATTAAATCTAGCACTAAATTAAAATAATATTTTCGTTAGAATAATGTTTTTGTCAAATTAACTAATTTAGAAGAAAAAATTCGGAAAAAAAATCTGATAAATTGTTACATGAACTTATGATGTTATTTTGTTTGTTTGTTTTTTTAAAAAAAGGACAAGGCCATGAGTTCACAAAAGTTTTTTTCAGTTTTGTGTTATATATATATGCCAGTAGTATGAATTAGTTAACTATAACCAAGATCAGAAAAAAAAAAGAAAACAACAACATACATTTCATTATGTTCTTTCTAGTAATGAAAAAACAGAAACGTTTGTTTATACAAAATTGTTAGATTCATTTGTTAGATGATTTATTTGAGATTTCATTTTTGATTGTTCTTCTAAAATCTAATGTGAAAATGAAAAGAAAAGAAAAACGATATAAATATAAGATAAATCGGTTAAATTTTGACATTAAATATATGATTATATGAGAAAGTGTAATGTTATATTAGAAAGACATAAGGAAATGTTAAAGTCAATACATTTAATGGGAAAGAAAATTTGTAGTTATTTGTATAATTATATAGTGAAACAATGAATATTTCGTAGATAATAGGATGTAACTATATAATGATATGTAAGGTGTTCTTAATAGAAGGAAGCTGTGAGCTAATTTTATCAAAGTAACAAGAATGAAATTCAAATTTAAAACAAGTTTACAGTATTGAATAATGAAATCAATGGCAAATAATTGTTTGTTAGAATGTTAGATAGTTAATTGTCCATTTGTTCGTTTTTCAAAGTCCTTCTACTCATGATGAACATATGCCGAAAAAAATGAATCAAAAGTTTAGTCCTGAACATGAAGAACTGGATAACTAAAAGGGTTATTATTAATGATGTAAATCAGGTTTTTTTGTAGAGATTTAGTATTTACATAGTTGAAAGCATGAGTCAATTGAAGCTAGGCCACCAAGGAAAACCTAGAAGCACTGGATGACCGTTTCGTCCTATTGTGGGACTCCTCAGCAGTGCTCATTCACGACCTCGCCTCGCGAGATTCGAACCCAGGACCCACGAGTCTCGCGCCAGAGCACTTAACTGATAGACCATCGAGCAATCTTGTAGTTATTTGAACTTAATAGCTCAGTACGTAATGTAGTCATTTGTAGCGAAAGGTGCTTGATTTGAGTTTCATTGTGAACACCATTACTGAGTTGCAAGTATATCCGGCTGGTGAGTTTCAAATAGTATGAATCCCACGCTGTGGACTCTACTACTAGCTCACATTAAATCAAATGACCATAGGAATGATCCAATCTAAAGTTTAATTCATTCTGAAAATAAACTATATCTTTCAATAGACTAACTCTATCGTTTAAAAAATGGAGGTTTAAGCAATCTGAAAACACAAATCAATAGTTGTATTTCTAAACAAATTTGAAATTGACCAATTAACGGATAATCGTTTAAAAGGTAACAGTTACACTCTAGATTCAATCAGTCTCGTGCACGAGCGCCTAAGCTCTAGACCACTGAGCATGCATCCAACGGTGTTAATGTCTATCTTCAACCGACCCACGAAATTGAGCGACAAATCCTCCATTGTCTTCAGTGAGACCGATAGGTCCTGGGTTCGAATCTCGCGTGTGCGGGATCGTGGATGCGCACTGCTGAAGAGTCTCATAATAGGACCAAACGACCATTCAGTGTTAACAGGTTTTCTATGGTAGTCTAGCTTCAATTGACTCATGATCTCAACTCTATAAATTTACTAAAATCTCCACCAAACCCCTTCTGATAATTTTATTTAATAACGCAATATATGAACTATTGAATTTCGTAACAATGAACAACATTTTAAACCAACTTAGACAACTTCATGTTTATAAAGGATAATGTACAAGTTGTTAGTTTTTTCTACTTAGAAAATATTGATGATTAAAATCTTATTCTATCGTTGTCAGAAAATATCTATCAGGGAAAAAATGTTGTTAAAAGAAATCCATACACACCAGGAATTTGTATAGATAGTTAAACTATTTACATTTTCTTGATTGTGTAATTATTAAAATAATTAAGTAATATATGAAGAGTTAAACGAGTATATTTAGAAAGAGAGATTTTCTTAGAGAATATAAAGATCTTAACGAATTCACAATGGGAGGTAAACTGATTTATAGAAAAAAAAACATGATGTTATTATATTCAATGATGAAATATAATATACATGATGAATAGTTCTAGCCAATTGTATATTTATTTATTTATTTATCTGTCTGTATATCTATCTATAGTGCTGATCACATAAAAAATGCATTATAAATACGACCACCTTTCTAAATACATGACCTCATTATTTTGGCTAGACGACCATTCAACATCAAGAAGTATGGGTAATAAGTTTCGTCCTAGTATGAAAGTTTTCACCAATATGCATCTCAACAATGGGATAATCTAGTATTTTCAGATCTTGAAGAGAGCTCGATGACCAATACCATTGAGTTGGGACTCAGTTGACTTGGATTTCAACTTTACTTAGTTTATAATTTTGCTCAATCGTCAAACAGTTCTTTCTGGTTTCCAGTTGTTCAGACTACCACTTAAGAATACATTTGTCCATATGGTGAGTTTAATATAAGATGTAGCTGACGTAATAAACATACCTCACACTATCATTATATAGTAGTTTTATAAAACAGGGGTAAAAGTCACTACAGAACAGTATGTGTTCAAACTTAGTTTCATGAGAAACAGTTAAAAATATTTCACTTTACTTGCTTAGATAATCACAAATATTTTTTACAAATAGACAAGTAGAATTTAATTCAGAACAGAATTAGCTAGGTAGTCTATGACTTAGTCAATTACAAGAAACGTATATGAATTATTGTCCATAAACTAGACTAAGAAACAAAATTAAAACCACTTAAAAGAAATATTAGTAGTGATGTAATTACAATGACGATGATAATAACAGTGACAAGAATAATATCCATGTGGTCTTTGTTAAAGTTGATGTGCCATTGAAAAAATAATTAAGGAAATATTAGGTATAACAAAACTATTTTGCATACATATAAAAGGAATGAGAAGTAACAATCCGTTTTTGTTCTGTTTAGTGAATACTATAGTAGATGAATATACTACTTTGAGATGGTGGAGAAAGTTCGTAGCTCAGGTGGATGATTTTGGTGGAGTTTCGTCTTCTGACGTGAATGATCGACGTCATGAACAACGTCATCAGCACAAACTACAGGTAGAAGCGAAATGCTCGAATTTTTCCACAACCAAATGATCCAGCTCAGAGAAAAAATCTCCACCAAATATACTACACTACATGAGTCCATGACTCATTTAGTTATAGTAATTTTAGGCGTCTATAGCTTGTTGTCAAGCTAACACAGTGGTGTTGAATAATTGAATTTAATAGAATATGACCTAGTTAACAGTATTGAATTAGTGTCATAGATTACATCACTACTTAACATAAAGTCAAACAACTAAACTCTGTATTTATTATCATTTTCTATGGCATAAGCTAAAATTATGATGTCTCGAAACATTGCCAGAATAAAGTCACCATAACTTAAGAAATAAGGCAGCCAGAATAAAGTATGTCTGTTTTGTAGAATAAGTCTCATTTGAAATATTCTTTCTGGACTAATGGAATCTCATTTCTTCTAGAATTAAAAGCAAAACTGAGAATTATTTCGGAACTTAACAATATGATACAAAAGGTATATTTCTCTCGGTATATTATATTGCTGTTGTGAAATGTCTAAGAATTAGGTGAGGAACCATAGAAAAAACTAAAAGAGCACTTAGAAACTCAGAATGAGATTGTTCATCGTAATAAAGGAACATCATGATTAACTTTATTTAATGGTAGCTACAAGTAGGGTTTCCTAAAGCTCCATTAAGGTGTACGTAATACTTAGTTATGACCTTCATATAGTCATTAAAATGGTTAAACTCCAGTGGATAAGTATTCTGTGGGGAAAATCAAGAATTCACCCCAGAGTTAGCCACTAATATCTGTCACCATATTTATCATATTGTCATATTTTTATTTTAATGACACCTAATTTTTATAAAACTCCGCCTGTAGCTCCTCCAGGGGCTACTGCCGGTCCCAAGCCCGGGTAAAGGAGGAGGGTTGGGCATGGGGTTAGCGACCCCATCCCGTAGAAAATCAACTCGCTAAAAAAACGCTAACCAGAAAAATTCATTCAAACCATTCAAACTCTGCCCTGGGAGTAGAAGGAAAAATGACGTCTCATGATGAAAGCCGAGTTCCTTCGGAAGTCATGAGGCCGATGCACCTTCTTACAACCAGAGCGACAATTTTTATAGGTACATGGAATGTCCGGACAATGTGGGAGACCGGCAGAGTCTTCCAAATTTCTGCGGAAATGAGGAAATACAACCTGGAAGTGCTTGGAATCAGTGAAACACATTGGACGCACGTTGGACAACAACGACTGTCTTCAGGGGAACTTCTGTTATACTCCGGTCATGAAGAAGAAAATGCCCCACATACACAAGGAGTGGCACTGATGCTGTCTAGAAAAGCGCAAAATGCACTTATAGGATGGGAATCTCATGGACCAAGGATCATCAAAGCCTCCTTCAGAACAAAGAGAGAGGGCATTACAATGAACATCATCCAATGCTATGCGCCGACCAACGACTAAGATGAACACGCTAAAGACCAATTCTACGATAGGCTGCAGTCAAACTTTGAGAAGTGCCCAACCAAGGACCTGACCATTCTAATGGGAGATTTCAATGCCAAGGTTGGAAAGGACAACACTGGATACGAAGACGTCATGGGACAACATGGACTGGGAGGAAGGAACGAAAACGGTGAGAGATTTGCAAACCTATGTGCCTTCAATAAACTGGTCATAGGTGGCACCATATTCCCACACAAAAACATACACAAAGCCACTTGGATTTCACCGGACCACACTACACAGAATCAAATCGACCATGTCTGCATCAACAAAAAGTTCAGGAGGACGATGGAGGATGTGAGAACCAGAAGAGGAGCTGATATAGCATCCGATCACCATTTGCTGGTCGCCAAGATGAAACTAAAACTCAAGAAGCACTGGACAATGGCGCGGACAACATCACAAAAGTTTAACACGGCCTTTCTTCGAGATGCTGACAAACTCAACGAATTTAACATAGCCCTCAGCAACAGGTTCCAGGCCTTTCATAACCTACTCAATGAAGAGGGAACCACCATAGAGAGCAGCTGGAAAGGTATCAAGGAGGCAATCGTTTCAACATGTCAGGAGGTTCTGGGCCAAAAGAAGCACCATCACAAGGAATGGATCACTGTTGGTACACTGGATAAGATTGAAGCAAGGAGGAACAAGAAGGTAGCAATCAATATCAGCCGAACAAGAGCAGAAAAAGCCAAGGCACATGCCGAATACACAGAGGCAAACAAGCAAGTGAAGAGGAGCATCAGGACCGACCGACGTAAATATGTGGAAGATTTAGCGATGACAGCGGAAAAGGCTGCAAGAGAGGGAAACATGAGACAACTGTATGATACAACAAAGAAACTTGCTGGAAATTACCGTCAACCAGAAAGACCAGTGAAAAACAAGGAAGGCAAAGTAATCAACGATATTGAAGAACAACGAAACAGGTGGGTAGAACACTTCAAAGAACTCTTGAATCGACCAGCTCCACTGAACCCACCCAACATCGAAGCAGCACCCACAGACCTCCCAATCGATATTGGCCCACCAACAATTGAAGAGATCAGCATGGCCATTAGACAAATCAAGAGTGGCAAAGCAGCGGGACCAGACAACATCCCGGCAGAGGCACTGAAAGCAAATGTAACAGCAACTGCCAAGATACTCCACATCCTCTTCGGTAAGATTTGGGACGAAGAACATGTACCAACAGACTGGAAAGAAGGACATCTCATCAAGATACCAAAGAAAGGCGATCTGAGCAAGTGCGACAACTACAGGGGCATCACTCTCCTCTCAATACCAGGAAAAGTCTTCAACAGAGTATTGTTAAACAGGATGAAGGATTCCGTGGACGCTCAACTTCGAGATCAACAAGCTGGATTTCGTAAGGATAGATCGTGCACAGATCAAATCGCAACTCTACGTATCATTGTGGAACAATCAATCGAATGGAATTCATCACTGTACATCAACTCCATCGACTACGAGAAGGCATTTGATAGCGTGGACAGGACGACACTGTGGAAGCTTCTTCGACACTACGGTGTGCCTGAGAAGATAGTAAATATCATACGGAACTCCTATGATGGACTAAACTGCCAAATCGTCCACGGAGGACAACTCACCGACTCGTTCGAGGTAAAGACCGGTGTTAGGCAAGGTTGCCTACTCTCACCCTTTCTCTTTCTCCTGGTGATCGACTGGATTATGAAGACGTCAACATCTGGAGGAATGCACGGGATACAGTGGACAGGCAGGATGCAGCTTGACGATTTAGACTTCGCGGATGATCTGGCTCTTCTATCACAAACGCAACAACAAATGCAGGAGAAAACGACCAGTGTAGCAGCAGCCTCAGCAGCAGTAGGTCTCAATATAAACAAAGGGAAAAGCAAGACTCTCCGATACAATACAATATGCACCAATCCAATTACACTTGACGGAGAAGCTTTGGAGGATGTGGAAATCTTTACATATCTGGGCAGCATCTTTGATGAACACGGTGGATCAGATGCAGATGTGAGGGCGAGGATCGGCAAAGCAAGAGCAGCATACCTACAGCTGAAAAACATCTGGAGCTCAAAACAATTGTCAACCAACACCAAGGTTAGAATTTTCAATACAAATGTCAAGACAGTTCTTCTGTATGGGGCAGAGACGTGGAGAACTACGAAAGCCATTATCCAGAAGATACAAGTGTTTATTAACAGCTGTCTACGCAAGATACTTCGGATCCGATGGCCAGACACTATCAGCAACAAGTTACTGTGGGAGAGAACAAACCAGATTCCAGCGGAGGAAGAAATCAGGAGGAAGCGCTGGAAGTGGATTGGGCACACTTTGAGGAAATCACCCAATTGTGTCACAAGACAAGCCCTCACATGGAATCCTGAAGGTCGAAGGAGAAGAGGAAGACCAAAGAACACATTACGCCGAGAAATAGAGACAGACATGAGAAGAATGAACAAGAACTGGAAAGAACTAGAAAAGAAGGCCCAGGAGAGAGTGGGTTGGAGAAACCTGGTCGGCGGCCTATGCTCCATTGGGAGTAACAGGCGAAAGTAAGTAAGTAAGTAATTTTTATAAGATCATTATTCTTTAATCATAATTTAAAAGATGGCTAAATCACTCTTGACAGACAAACAGAAATCATAGTGAGTATTGTCTATATTTGGTTATAAAAAAGGATTTGTCGACTCCTCATGAGTGTGACAACAGTGAAATTTCTCAAAGTACGTTAGTAGTTTGTAACAGAGAAGAAATTATATTGTCTTCATAAGTTCTTTTCATAGTTTCTTTAAATAGGTTTGACATAAAAAGTGTTTTAAATATGGATTATATTACCATGAAATTACTTTTCAGACTAGTTTCAATTGTCAATCGTCGAAGGTTGACAATAAATAGACTTTATATGTTTATGTTATCTCACAAAATCAATGCGGAAAAATTTAACTTGTATAGCTACATAGTAACTAACAAACTGGATAATCAGTATAGCTCGGTGGAATAATATGATACATGAACATGATGGAATATATAAAAATTTGTTGCATAAACAGATCGTAGTTATCTACAACCTATTCAATCAATTGTGTATATTTTTTAATTATAAGGTATGTTGTAAAATGAAAACATTCAAAGTGATCAATTTTAGATAATTAAATTGTTTTTATACCTGCATATAATAAGGCCAAATTTTTGGCATGTAGTGGGTAAATATCTTAATTAACTGTGGAATATATATCTTAACATAATATTGATTTTTATTCATCGATTTGATGAAATTCCTCAAATGTGGTTTGAATAGTATCTTGTAAGATTCTTCTATTTGCTTCTGTTTGATTAGTTGAATGAACTGACTCAGTTGTTCATAGTTTGACTTTTCATCCCGCCATTGTTCGCTGATTCTATTTCTAGCGCATTGTCCTATAGTACTAATATTGTTTCGAATGCTTTCAAATAAACTTTGCTACATGAAATCAATTTATAAATAAGGTAAGAAAGAAAGTGAGTAGTATTTAGTGCATATATATATATATATATATATATATATATATAACTCAAAATCGAAAGTAATACATAAAAGCATGTTTCAGAGAAGATGATCTGCAATCATTTTGGAACTAATGGTCTCCATATGATAGGGTCCCATATTATTGCATGTCTTACAAATATTACCAGCGAGCATCAAAGACTCGGGACTGAAATACTGAGTCAATTAAGCCGGTACCTACACTATAAATGGATTGATATGATCCAGTTCGACAATGAAATAAAAAATTGATTGGGACTAAGTGATATATTAACGCATTACATTTCAAGTTTGATCACATGCTTAATTGTCACAATATTTATATGACAAAAGATAGGCCAAACTAGATAAATTGGGTGAAGAGAACAATTAAGACGATAAGGAAAATATAGACAACAGGATTATTAATTTCAGATTGATAGTCATTGTTACCAGTGTAGGTTATTATGTGGTTTCTTCATCAATAAAAATTAGACAATTTCTGAATAATGCGACATTAATGCAAATATGTTTGTCTTTATTTGAAATACCTAACTAAAAGTAGTGAGGTATACGTGGGAAAAGTTACTTCGGTAGCAAACTATAATTCCTCTCATGTTGGAAGTTATATATCGTTCGTCAGTGACCTAAATATATGCTATAAAACAAATGGATTACAGAGAGAAAGGTTTTGATCCAAAAAGCTTACGTAGTAGCATAGTAAATTTGTATTTCCAATATATAGAACGTTTCACTAAAACGATACCGTGGATTTAAGGATAGAATATTCACTAATATCTATTAAGTTCTCACTTTATTCAGTATTATATTGGGGAAAATTGTCAAATATTTGAATCGAAGCATGACCAACTTTAAGCCTTTGTTATATCCATCTACTGAAAATTAATATCATATTCTGATCAGAACAAAGTGTAATCTAAGATAAAAATATTTTGTTCCGGGTTAAGGTAATGTTTATCAGTACGTCATCAGTATCTTATAAAAATAAAACTAAAATATAGCTGTGGAAATATAAAAATAAAACTGTACATTTTAAAATTTCAAGGAGTCAAATTAAATTGTAATAACGTTAGTATCAGAACGCTGGTCCGAACGTCTTCATCAGTGTAAAGGAAATCAAAATAACAGAAGATAAATAAGGGCACATATATAAATCTGTACCGAGCAATAAACCAATTATGTTGATATGTCAAATTTGACTTATATTATGAATACGAGTTTTTTATTCTAAATTGTGTTAATATTATGATGTGTATGTGAGGACTTGTGTGTCATTATCTTCTGAAAGGCAGTGATCACGTGTGGTCCATAGGCTAAAGTCAGGAGAATATTAGTCATTCTGGTAGTTGGTACTAATTTGATCTTCTTAAAACATGTGAGATTAGATGTAAATAAATAACCGTATTTATTTTGTATTTGGTTAGCAGTGAAATTTATGACAGAGATATTGTCCTTATCTCAGTTGCAGATGAAATTTACAGAGTTCTAGTCTTAGTGCAAACAACAAAACTATGATGTATTCTACATTTTAGCTGATTAATTCGGAATAGTACTAAAATGAACTCATAGATTTCCCTGGTAGCCGCATTCCAAATATGCTAAAATGTGTGTCTAAAGACCAAATCGATACAACAGACTACGACTGCACATATAGCAATCGCAGTCTTAAATATCAAGAACGGGAAAATACGAACACCTACTTATAACTACGTATATGTTTATGATTTACTATGTTTACCAGAATAAAACAAAAGGCTGAACAAGGAAGATAATTCATTTTTGAGATTACAAATCTTTAAGGTCGAAACGAGAGAATAAGTAGTTGAAAATACTAATTTTTTCCTTCTTAATTTATTGTTCAGTAATAAGGACAAAAAGCTGATTACACCGCACCCACTTGTTTGAATTATCTCGAATACTGACAACATCGCTGAGATCTATTTTTGTGTATGACTCAATCTTTTTTAAAGGATTGTTGTGTCGTAGACAACTTAACAAATTATTGCCACAAACCTATTTTCAAAGTTTGTGATATATTCTGAAGATTTAGGAATTTGTTTCAAACATTTTCTTTGTTTCTTCCCCAACATATTCCCTTGTCTCTATGTTGTACTTACAAATACAGCAGTGCAATCAGTACATTTGACGTCTTAGATACAGCTGTGTTTCTTCGGTTTTAGTGTTGTATCAACATAGATTTTCACAAATAGAGAACAGAAAGTGTCGTTTGCTTGAATCAATAACTTTTTATCAAGTTTATATTGTTTATTAACGGATTTAAAACCATTCAAAATGTATCCAAATACCAGCGAATTCAAAATACTCACAGCGATGTTTAAGCGTTCATTCACATGCTTTAAATAAACTGTAATATTTTCTAGTTTCCCTGAATTTCTGGTATCATTAACAAGAAGATTGTAAATAATTTCATTAATCTTTGATGGAATTTCTATCCATATACTGTAGATTTCGACCATAGAATACCAAAAAGCATCAAAAGCATTGAAACTTAATTCTTGTTTTAAAAAGAAAAACAAATTTAAATGGCATAAAACGATGACATTTGTAAAATCACGATTTATATAATTTAAAAATTACCAAAAAATAATAATGAAGTAGAACAATGAATAAAATATTCTCATTTTTTCCATCTTGTTTAACATGGTTATTTTTCATTTTAAAGTAATACTATTGTGTGTGCCACTTATATTGACAGATATAAGTAGTATGTAACACCAAGCGAAAGTGGAATGCCTGGCAGCAGAAGGTTGAGAAGATCGAATAAAAAAGAACGGGAACAGGTAATAATTAGTATGGAAACGAAGGAACAACAAAGTTGGAGACAATCAATAGACATTTTACGACTATATCAGAATATTGAATGTATAGTATTCACAATTAACGAAACAACGGTTTATTTTGTTACTGTATATCCGCAATTTTAGCCTAAAGTGTTTTTCACAGATTATCTAACACAGAATAATTATTGAAAAATAAATATTTTTGCAGATCCTTAATTACATAGCTTTTTGCGTAAATAAGCTTTTTTCGCTTAGGTCATAGCTTAAGTTATAATGTTCATACTAATTTGCAATGAAGATTGTTAAAGATTAAACCAGACAACTTGAGTTATAAAACGTGACTATAAAACAATTGGAATTTTTAAAAAAAAAATCTGGAATAAAGTTGGTTTCATCTTCAGTAGATAGATTTTATCTGAAAATCAAAAGCTCAAATTGAACATTATTATTCACAATTGATTGATCACTGGGTGGTGATCAATCTCATGCGTGTCAGGTCCTTAGTGCTGATCGAATGCTATCGATCAAGTTGCAATGTGGCCACCAGTCTAGGTGGCTCGACACTGCGGGCACTATATATATTAGGGTAACATGGTGGTTGGAGGTGGTCAACAGGAAACCCTGGACCCGGGTTTCGTGCTACTTGGCACTCGTCAGCAAGGTGTACCTGTAATCTTGAGGGAACTGATGCTCCCTGGCGGATTCGATCCCGCGTCACTCAGCTTCACAGTCAGAGACGTTACCACTGAGCTATTCGGGCCGCGACCGACCTCCTGTAGGACTGAGATCTAATCACAATTGATTGATCACTGGGTGGTGATCAATCTCATGCGTGTCAGGTCCTTAGTGCTGATCGAATGCTATCGATCGGTGAAGCTGAGTGACGCGGGATCGAATCCGCCAGGGAGCATCAGTTCCCTCAAGATTACAGGTACACCTTGCTGACGAGTGCCAAGTAGCACGAAACCCGGGTCCAGGGTTTCCTGTTGACCACCTCCAACCACCATGTTACCCGAACATTATTATTCTCTACAAAAATAAAATAATGATATTATGGTAGTATGATTGCATCATCATACATGATTCTGTTCAGTAGATTTCCTTTTACTAAAAAACTAAACAAATTTATAAGTAAAAACCTAGATTATTGTTGTGTGGGTTACTTATATTCGCACAAGTAGTATATAACAATGATCGGGTGTTTAATGTATTTCAGTAGAAGATCGATAAGGAGAGAGCGGGAACGGGACAGAATTGGTGTGAAAATGCATGAACAGTAATAATCAGGGAAGATAGACTGATGTATGCAGAAGGAACAGTCAAGATTTAATAGTTTGTACATTAACTATTTACTATATGGTTCTTATATTTTACTGAGATATTGTGTAGTTTTGTGCTTAAATACATTCAATTGTCTCCACACGTGTTCTTGTTCACTACATTATGTCAGATTGCTACTGAATCCGAATAAATACTTTTATATTTTACACTCAAGTATATTCTTAAAAGCCATGAAGATAAAATATCAATAGTTTTTTTGTATTACTACATCATATTCATACTTACTTAAACCTTTAATTGAATCTTTAGAAAACTCTTCTGATTTCTGGATCGTTGTATTCACCATATAATTCAGTAGTGGATTAATATTGTCTACGATTTTTTGTTGTATATTTGATTCTATATATATCTAAAATTATACAAATTAGTGTATTTCATTGTAAGAAAAATATATTAAACTAGTACAGTCTGAATGAACATCATTTATGATTTTATTAAAGTTGAGTAAGGAAGTGGTAATAAAAAAATGTTTAGTCAAAATAAGTTGAGTAGATAGTTTAGAATCTTTTGTCTAAGAGTTTGTTAATATGTCTGACCATCTAAAATAAACGTACTAAAGGGTGCAAGTCAATAAAGGTATGTAAATAATTAAAGAGACCTGCTCAAAAGTAATTATTAAAATGTCTCTTATGGACAATATTTGGCGGTTCAATTTTTGTGATTCAGTTGGACATTGATTGCGTATAGTTACAGTTAACAGAATGATGACTAAATAACTGTAGAGCAAATGTGTTTTAGTGGTGTAGTGAAACTAATACTAGTCATATATTGATTTGCTGGTCATAATAATCCATGTAGATATAAACACTATTGATGTTTCTAAATATTTATAACAGTTTGATATTTATAAATGACCAATGTCATGTTTTTCTAGTCCTTTAGTACTTACCTAATTCTATCAGTCAAGTTGCACTGTTGCTACTATTTTGAGTTAAACTATATTTTGCTTCCTATATTGAGATGTTAGGTGGTTCGAGGTAATCAGTGAGATTTCCTGGACCTAGGTTCCTTAATAATTGGTACTCACCAACAAGGTAAGTCTGTAATCTTTGAAGAGTCAATGTTTTATGATGGATTCAATCCAACATCACCCAGCTTCATTGTCTGAACTATTTAGGCTGGTACTAACCTCTAGCAGAACTAAGCTATTTACTATGGACTGATCACTGAATAGTGATCATTGTTGTGTTTGGTCTGGTCATTCAGTTACAAATATGCCTTGCTGATAGCTGATCACAGTTATGAAACCTAAATACAAGGTTTTGTGACTTCTATCTTTACCCCCCCCCCGAAAATTGTAATGTGTCTAAATGGTAATAGTCTAGCATCTCTCTACTAGCCCTTTTGTTCACTCCCTTATCGTAGGGAATAGTATATTCCCTCCTGATATCGGTGTATTTACCTAATTCTATCTGATTATTTATGTAATCTTTCGAAAAATAACTTCTTTGGCCAAGTGCTCCAGTTAATCTAAGAGTCTTGAAAAGCTAACTGGTATTCTTTATTTTTTTACACTTCAAAAATGTCTAACAGTCAAGTCAAACATGGTACATAATAAGGAAGACAAATGTCCTATGAATTCAAACCTCACAATATTCAAAAATTTATCATCCTATCATTATTCAGCCAACGTATGTCTCCTGAGTGTTTTTTTTTCAAATTACTCACCAAATTCAAGACCATTATAGTATTATGAATTGAGTGGAGAACAAAATGTCATTATATCTTATAATCACCTTTCTTTCTTACAATTCTAAATTTTAAATATTCTTTCATGTGTCAAAACAATCAGTAGATGACCCAAAACACCTTGACACTATTACGAAAACTTTTCTGGTGATTAAAAAATGATAACAAAGTTGTCTAATCAGTTTAATTATTCAATATTGATTCTAATCAATGTAAAAATGCTTCAGTTTAAATTTTAATGACATTATTTACACAACATTCGTGAAATTATGAATAGTAAGATAAGTCTACTGAGTATCTGTAGAACTCCAAAATATCTGGTAGATATACTGTGGTTGATTATTTTAATGTTAAGGAAATTCTCAATGAATTCAGAATTTTTAATCGTTTGAAACTTCTAAGATCTTACATTCCCTTTGACAATAAACTATCTACTTTTCTGCTTTGATTGTAAAGAATTTCAATATTCCACTGGGGAATGTAAAAGTTGAAAAAAGGAATACAAATAAAACAAGAGGAATTTTACAAGCTTGGCATTCAGGCCAGAAGCAGTCAATAGAGATATAAAAATCGATCCAATTCAGTTAGTAGATAGACAGTATCATATCAAGGAAAACCTGGAACCAAGATATTGAGATCATATACAACTATATAACCAAAAATCCAGTCAAGTTGGAAGACCGTTAAAATATACCGTTAGCTTTTGGACAGATGTTGACAACAGCCAGTCATTGTTGATAAAACAAGCTGTCAGTTACATGTTTTTACTTACTTACTTACATACTCCTGTTACCTCTAGTGGAGGAGCATAGACCACTCACTAGCATTCTACATCGAATTTTGTCCTGATAAATCCGTTACAGTTCTTTGCAGTTGCTTTGCATCCTGTACATATCTTTCTCCAATTCCCGACGTAGTGTGTTCTTGGGGTTCCCTTTTTTCCTCTTCCTTTTAGGATTCCAAATTAGGTCTGGCCTCGTGATGCAGTTTGATGATCTCCTTAATGTGTGTTCTATCCACTTCCAACGTCTTTTCCTAATTTCCTCCTCAGTTGGAAGCTGATTTGTTGTTTCTCACAATAGGCTGTTGATGATGGCATCCGGTCAACGGACATTAATTATCATATGTCGACAAGTGTTTATAAATACTTGTACCTTTTTGATGATGATTGTAGTAGTTCTCAAAGTTTCATCTCCATACAGTAGAACTGTTTTGACGTTCGTATTGAGGATTCTGCCTTTGATGTTAATTGACAGTTGTTTTGAGTTCCACATGTTCTTCAATTGTAAAAATGTGATCCTTAGTTTGCCAATCTTCACCTTTACATCCGCATCAGATCCTCCTTGTTCATCGATGATGCTACCCAGATAAGTGAAACTTCCCATCTCTTCCAGAGTTCCTCCGTCAAATGTGATTGGGTTGGTGTTCTATATGTTGTATTCGAGGATGTTGTTTATTCTCTTGTGAATGTTGAGGCCTACTGGTGCAGAAGCTCCTGATACACTACTTATCTTCATCAACATTTGTACGTATGTTTGGGACAGAAGAGCCAGGTTAGTTACATGTGGTAACATTTTAATAGCTCATTTCTAACTGAAGATTGATTTGGTTTTCCTTTCAGAAATTCAATAAACCATTCATGCAATATTAATAATTTTTTTCCTGAGCTACACGTTTGTTCCATTACATAGTGAAGTGGCCTTTGTCCCCTGAGGTTTAGCGGGTTTAAGTAGAACCTTTTTAATGCTAACTGATAAAAACACACATCTAATCATTTATGCATTTATTGAGACATAATTTTAACAATTAACTAATTATTTTTTTAATTATATGGTTCCTTTATTCTATTATAGATTTTATAATACGAAATGATTTATTCATATCTTTTACTATCTATACAAAACTTCACTAAACAGAACATAGAAACAAACAATAAACGCATTTCACTTATTTTTTACTTTTATATTTCTATCGCTTATCATACATACAAAAAGTAAACATAACTTCATTTCATTAATGTACCAGTTTAAATCAAACAAGATATCTATTTTTGTTTGTAGATTTAATTATAAAATAATAACTAATCTATAACTAAGATATTTTTATTTTAACGATGTATATTTCATGATTGATTAGCATAATTTAAACAAGAATTTCAAACTAAAAGTTGAACTTCGTGGATTAGTTGAAGTTAGACATTAACACCGGCTCAGTGGTCTATTGGTCAGGTGCTCTGGCGCGAGACTGGTACGTCCTAGGTTCGAATCTCGCGAGACGGGATCGTGGATGCGCACTGCTGAAGAGTCCCATAGTTGGACGAAACGGCCGTCTAGTGCTTCTAGGTTTTACACGGTGGTCTAGCTTCAATTGACTCATGATTTGAAGTATATATAAAAGTTGAAAGTTAAATTGTTATTCCATTCAATTATTTGTTAATAATGAATAACTGACAAGTTAGCTAATCTGGATTACACTTAACAGTAATAGTTTGAACTGTCATATTTGTAAAATTGAGTGAATTTTTTTTCTAATAAGTGCATTCAGACAATAGATCAGGGTTGTGCATCATTGTAAATTGATTATGGTATAACATTTGATCAAGGCTTAGTGAGCAATAGATTAATCGTTTGCACAACAAACTGAAGGTCCACGGTTCAAATCCCGGATATGAGGTGACAGATATACACTGCTGATGGGTGGAGGAGATTTTTAGCTCAGGTGGATGACTTTAATGGGATTTTGTTCTCTGAGCTAGATGGTTTGGTTGTAGAGCTTTCATCGTTCTTCTGAACGACATCATCAGAAGAAACGTACACCCAAAGTTTGTGCTGTTTAGACCATCATGTTTATCCAAGAACGTTAAAAGTGGATGCTAATGTGAAGATTGGGATAATATTGAATGCAATACAATCGTTTAAAGATCCCCGTCATATTAAAAGACTAATATTTGAACGAAGAATATTCTTTTCGATAAATTCTCTTCAGGTTCTACAATTACGTATCCAAATTAATAATCCGAAAAAATGACCAGGTTAAGGGAAAAGTACATCGTCTAATGCATGTAAATTTATGATTGTCAAACCAAATAGAATAAAATTGTTAATACTGATATGACTCATAGAATGTTAACTTAAATATGTATATATGTTAAGTGAAAATTTCAGATCTGTGATCAGAATAGATATGGGTCAGATAGGGTGAGAGAGATATGATAGTACAATTACAATTCGATCAAGTGGAAGACTAAATTGTGTGAAAAATTAGTGAGACGTAATAAGGAGGGATCAATGTGAAGTGAATGAATCATGTATAGGGGAGATTAATAATGATGTTTAACCGATAATAATATTCATAATTATAATACAATACAAAGATTTGTGAATAAAGATAAGAAAGACAATTACATTTGACTACGAAAGGTCGTAAGTACATAGTCAATTTAGTTCATCCAATAGCTAAGATTACTATTGATTAATTGGCCTTGTGGTTGGCCAAGGGAGGAGCAGGGGTTAGAGATATTTCTTCTGTACGCATAGTTCCGGTTTCTTCATTCTGAAGGACTTTGAGCCTGACAAGCTTTGGCAAAAAATTACTGACCCTATAAATAATTGAAAAGGATTGGTTTATACTGGCACTATATTGGCCAATATCGAGCTGTTTACTTTCTTCAACAGACCTTTACTTAGCCACGCAATTGTTTTTTTTGTGCGAAAAACAATCATATTTACTATACATGAGTAATGCATATTTTGTTCTTCTGATAAAACTAAATTTCGTTGTTGAATAACGTTTAATTATTTTTTCATTGTAATTTTCAGCTTTATCATATTTTCGTTAAAAATGTACTAATAATCAGTGAAATATATATTTGGTTGGTAAAAATCAAAAGTAATCTTTAAACATTTATTCTGAGCCAGTTAAAGGTTTGACAAAATGGTCATGACCGATAAGTTGTATAAGAATATTCTGTCGATATAATTTACAATATACTGTAATGTATCGCGGTAACAAATAGCGTCATTGGGAAACTAAATCTATATCTAGAATAACATGTTAGGTAAACATAGAATTTATAACTTCATGGTAGCTAATGAAATACTCTTGCAAAGATCACAATTGTTTTATTGACTGTGATAATACATCACTGAGATGTTTAAAAGCATAAGCAATAATTTCAAAGCACCTATTCAACTGATCAATACAAAAGTGTAATATATTAGCTCAGTCAAAATATAGAGTAATTCTCAATCACTTTCGATTCACAAATAATTATCGTCTAGATTACTCTTAATCCCGACTATTTCTGTTAAATATTATTAGTGTATATAAGTCATTGATATATTGTTTGATCTCTTCGAAACAATCAATCCAATACTTTTGGAAACTTATTTTGAGTATTATTGCAAACGTAATAATGAGCAACTCTCAGCAACCAAATATCACTTTGCCAAGATTGGTTGAATAACTAAAAAAACATGAAAATCCTCTGAATATTCAATATACATCTTGTGTTTGTTGATTAAATGATTGGTCTATGGTATATTTCATCATGTTTTTATGGTAGACATTTATTTGACTAATGGACGGTATCCATGCACTTTGAAAGTTCATAAATTATAGTTCATTATTAATATACTTATTACTTTGATTTGTACTACATATAGCATAGTTATGTAGAAGATGAGACTAATTAGCTATGTTGCATCATGATCTTATATTATATATATATAATTTGAGACCAAACAGTTTAACATTTATATATATTAGCTCAGTTTGTGAACTTATTGTCATTAACTTAGACAAAATCATACCAAGTTCATCTTATGTTTTGACAATGTCTTGTTTAATTTCGCATACATTGATTGATGATTTCCCAGAATGACTTACCGTCAATCACATTAACTGACAAGAAATTTGGTTCATCTACAAATTAATTATATTTGGTTATGTATTATAATAGAAATAAAATTAAATTATGATAGAAATACTCTACGGTAAACGTTAACCAATTTTGACACAAATGACGTTTTTATCTACAGTTGAAGTCATGAGTCAGTTGAAGATAGACCACCATGGAAAACCTGGAAGCACTGGATGGTCGTTTCAACCTATTGTGGGACTCTTCAGCAGTGCGCATCCACGATCCCGCCTAACGAGATTCAAACCCAGGACCTACCATTTGGAAATATATATTTACCATAATAATAATAATAATAATAATAATAAAAACGATATATAATAACCAAATAATGAAATTAAATAATCACTATGGGATTGTGAAGATTAATAATTTTTTTTATTCATAATCTTAACAGAAGTGTTTTTTTGGAGATTTAGTATTTTCTTAATTGAAAGCGTGACTCAATCGAAGCTAGTTTTGACATCAATCGATTCATGATCTCAATCGAAAAAGAAAAAAATAATAAATTAGAAATCTTACCATGGTATTACATCACAATGACTTACCAGGAAAGATTTATAAATGCTGTCAAAATATTGAACTAAATTCAATTTAAATTGAGTTAAACTATTAGTAGTATTTTTCAATTCTTGAAAATTTTCCCAAATATCTAATTTTGTTATATTCAATTTTATTGGTAACCTATTTTTAAATATTGAAATATTGAATAATTCATTATTGAACCAATATAGAAATAAATGACTGGTATATTTTAAATCATTATGAATTATATTAATGAATTGATTCAATTGTATTTCATTTATAGAATTCATGAAATCATTTGAAAACAATATGATTAATTGTTGTCCATATTGATAGATTTTAGCAAAACTCAATTGAATTAAAGAATTGAATTGTTTAGGGAATTCATTAATAGATAACTTGATATCATAAAAGAAAAGAAAACAAAAAAAATTAATGAATGACTGGATAATTGTTGATATGGCAACTAATAATTATATTCATATTGATTTAATTTTATTTTTTTTTAAATATTTGAATTTTTATATTTTTAAAAACGTTACATCATTAAATTAATTATAGAACAATATATATTAAAAGATTAGAAAAATAATTAATGATGACATTTAAATGTGAAATAGTAATATTTATCAATTAAAAATAGTAACATAGATGAAATAATTCATCAATTCCATATAAACATTCATTAATTCGGAACTTATTGTTTATAAATATCATGTTACATAGTCTTTAGTTTCCGTTGAATTCTCAGTACACTATTAAACAAATTAATTAAAATGAGTACAAAGTAGACTTCTCAATGAGTTTTGTTATAAAAAGACTGTGGAATTGATGAGATGTATGCTTAAATGAAGTTTTTAAATATTGTAATTATTGGCAAAGATGGATAGTGGCTAGCAGTGGAATCCATCTTTGTTCATAATGCTTGTGAATTAAAGTTATATCGGGGCAATACACACAGTATGTACATATGACAATAAGAGACTGATCAATTTCATTCTTAAACATCAATGAGAAGATTCAACTAAATAATACCAAGTGTATTGTAATTATTATTATCAGCTTAATCCAATATAATATAGAATCCTCGGCACAAAGTATTTCAACAAAATTCTGTTCCTTATTTCTTCGTAGATCCTGACGATAAATATTAAGTGATCGCCAGTTAGAAGTTAGCAGTGTAGTCAATCGACATTTGAATAATGTACATGCTTTTCGCTGCATATTATCAGCAACCACGATATCTCTGATGAAGCCTTCTAAAACCTTCACAGCGAAACGTTGTACAGTTTTCAGAAACTCACCTGAATAGGTTGTGCGACTAATAACCATAATGATGTATTAAAACAAAATTAGATAACTTGTTGAAATATCTAGATGACGGGAACAGGTTGCCCAGATATGTGAAGCAGGCAGCCAATGACTGAAAAAAGTGTGACCTTAAAATTTTAGGATTGAGATTTCTGAAAAGTAATGATTTTAATTCTTCATACAGAACAACTTCATTCTTTTCAAGATGTTACAAATATGTATTAATCAAGCCCTTGGTTACATGTACATATATTCTACGTCAAACGTTAATTTTTGTTACTAGATAAGTCTATTAACGTTTGCTTTTAAAATATGCTATTTGTTAATCCCATATCAACTTTTTGTCTCTTCTGTGTAATAATATTAGTGTCAGAGTTTGTAACGATGCTCAGTACCGTAATTAAGGTGTGTTTAATTTGGTTTGTGGCTCATTAATTAAGGTTAATTGAACTAAAATGTTGATAATCGCATTGATAATCACATTCATCATTCATTATTTTCATCTTATAGACTAAAGATTTGAATGAATCAAAAAATTTTTTAGACATACTTACGGATACGTCTTCACATATTTCTGGTCTCCAGTACGAAAATAAATGAAGAATGTTTGAATGATCTAAGTGTACTATTAAGCGACCATTCAAATTACTTTGATTGATTGACTGATGATGACTAGTTACTTGTAACATGGCGCCATAATTCTTGTTTATTTTGACTTGCAATATTGTCTCTGTGAATCAAATATATTTAATTATCTAGTACATATATGATATATTCACGTTATAGTTAATGTTAATACAAGCTTCATTTAGTCTTATTAAGATTAGTGTAAACGTTTTGTTCAATGAATTTGACCAATGACTGTTCATGTCAAATGGTAAAGACTATAAATTAAAAGGCTTTACAATCAATTTCTTTCCTTAGTCAACATATAAAATGTTTATCTTAAATAATGTCTAAAATATAGTTTGGTTATTCTTCCAAAAATGTTCAATATCCGGTGTTTAATAAAAGTTTAAAAACAAAATTCCAATTTTTAACATGTCATGAGGTTTCTAAAATATACATGGCGTACAAGCATTTTTCAATATTTAAAATACAGTTAAACATCCTTATACTGATGAATTGAATAGATAAATTTCATTGTAGTATCAGAAATACGTCTGCATTAAGAAAAAATAACAATTTTTTTATACACCACAGTGTAGCTATTAGTGTTCTATCTTATTTTCGATGAAATAGACTCTAGTTTTACTGCACATGACTAGTTTTCAAGTTACCCTCTATACCAGGATTTCTGATTTTCAGTTCAGCGTAATCTCAGATTCGGGACAATATATCAAAAACGTTGTCGTCTATTAGACAACAGAGATTTGGCTGTAAACCGAAGATAAACCTTAATCAGTATTAATGAATAAATCATGATTTTATTTATGTCACAGTATAAGAGGACGGAACTAGTCAAATGTAATGAATTGTTGTAACGAAAGCACTTATCTGATCAAAATCTTACTTATTTTGGTTCAGTTAAACTATTTATACTATTACTTGTATATATTATCCGACATATAAAAACCTGAACTATAACAAAGCCTTGAAGTGGTATGTTTCAGTGTGTTTATATTGGACCTTTGTTGTATTTCAAATGAAATATAAACAAGATCATTTTGAATGCTTTTTTCTTGATACCTCGAATATTAGTTAATGGACAAAAACTTAGACTTTAAATTTATCCAATTTATGTAATACAAACCAATTATTTATGTATCAAAGATGAGAACTTTTATATATTTCGTCTATTTTCTAAAATGAATTTTTAGACTTGGCATAAAATAAGTATTACACAGAGAAATATAAAGAAGTCATGATTCAGTTAAAACAATCTTATTTTTATCAGAAAGGGGTTTTGTGGACATTATAGTAATTTATTAATTGAATTCATGAGTCAATTAAAGCTAGAATACTATGGAAAACAGCGATCTAGTACTTCTATGGTGAATGAGAACACAAGTGAGGATAATAGAATTTATTTTATACTAAAATATTACTGACTATCTCACTAAAATCTGACAATCATACTGTAAACAATCAATTTGCAAACTATTAATCAATTTTTCTTAATCTTGACCATTCCTTCTGCAAATATCAGTCCATGGTCTCCGACTATTATTTTTCATGCATTTTCATACCGATTGTGTTTCGTTTCCGTTCTTTCGTTATAGATCTTCCAGTGAAATACATCCAACGCTCGACCATCTTTATATACTACTTACTACTTACGCCACACTCCCAGGTTTTTCATGGTGGTCTAACTTTAATTGACTTATGAATTGAACTATTAAAATTATACTTTTATTCAGGTCAAACTATAAATAATGAATTTGAGTTTATATTAAGTATTTTCTTTCATTATTGTGGATATTTTTAATAGAAAAATATCGAGTTACTTGAGAATTCATTATGAATTTTATTATAAAAAATAATAGAGTAATATACTGAAAAAAATGAAAAAGAAGGGAGAAAAAACTAATAGAATAAGAAAATTGAAAAATGATCAATTCAATTAATTGTTAATAAAGTTTTGTGGCCCTATATCTAACTCCAGGTCGATCTTATGAATGAATGTTATATATATATATATATATATATTGTCAATTCTCGTATATAATTATTGACTCAAATCGCGTTAGTGAATAAGGAAATCAAATAAGTCGTATACGAGAATTAAGTTTTTAAATATGAATATTTCGCAAAATAATTAATCCAGATAATCGATCGAGAAAACGAAGCCAAGAGACAGATGCGAGATGTCGCTCAGTATTAATCAATATTTATAGCCAAACAAAAGTAAGATGAACAGGATAAAATGTGTACACATATACGTTCATATAAAGACAGTCAAGGTTGATAAATGAATAATTGAAAAGTTTAATATGTAACTCAAGAAGAATGAATAGATCTGCCTGTCCGGAAGATGGAATAAGCTACTTGGGCTTAACATAGTAGCCGACAATATAACAAATAGAAATCTAATCAATTTGAATAGTTTGAATTGTTTTTTTACACAATGCAATGTAACGTTTAAAAAGAGGATAACAATAATAATAATCTTATATAGTTGAGATCATGAGTCAATTGAAGCTAAACCACTATGGAAAACCTGGAACCACTGAACGACCGTTTCGTCCTAATGTGGGGCTCCTCAGCAGTGTGCATCCACTATCCCGTCTTGCGAGATTCGAACCCAGAAACTACTAGTCTTGAGCACTTAATCGACAGATGACTGAACGTACACAAAAACCCCTTCTGATAATAATAATAATCATTCATTTATTGATAATGACATCTTCAATTATAGATGATCATTAAATTTTTGATGAATAAAACTAATAACTAAACTAATTTCTTATGGTGGTAATTTGATTGATTGATTTTGTTATATTATTAATTTTTATAATTATAATCTATAATTCAAGGTGACAATGATTTTGTTTCTGAATGAATTATCTTATTGATAATAAAATAACATTGACAGTTTGAATTCTAACTTCATTTTAATCTAAGATGATTGATTGATAATGATTAGATATGTGACATTAAAGAATTAGAAATTAAATTATAATAGATAAATAAATGTTCAATGTTTTTCTTGTTTGTTTATTTGTTTGTTTTTACTGGTTGTCCGTTTTATATCATTTTTATCCCAGTACTATTATTCATAAATAGTTTTCTGTATGATATATTATCGGTTCTCTGAAAGAAAGATATAGAATGCCATGGTTTTTTTTCTGTATATTATTAAGTATTTGTGAGTTATTTTCACATTATGATTCAGTGTTATGTACGTGACTTAGATTTGTACCTAGAATTCTCGTTTACTCTCTATAGACATCATAGTAGAATTATTCAATTTATGGGTAATTAAGATAGTACAGTAACAAAATTAGAATATATATATATAAATGTACTTACTGTGCTCATCGGAACCGATAACTGACTTAATAGCTAATAAATCACCATTGTTAACAACCATATTCCTGTCTTGATAATTCATTGAAATCATAGAACTAAAGTTGAATGATTTACCTTGATTATGTAACTGGTAGATGACTTGAAAAATATCATAATAATCATATTTAATATGATAAATGTTATTGTTATAATTTTGATAAATAAGATTGTAATTCAACTCCAGATGATTATCAATCTTAGTTTTATTATCAGTTCAATGAGATTTTGTTTTTATATCCAATTTGTAAACATATTTACATATATACATGAAAAAGAAATAAAAAAGAGATAAAAAACAACAAATAAATAATGAGTAAATAACCACAATTTTCTTATTTTTTCTTATCATTCTTTCTACTGATTCATGATAAGAAACATAAGATATGATAATCAACAAAAATGTTGACTTAACAAGTTCAGCTTAATTTATTTACATGATCATTGAAAACGTCTTCAAAGTGTGTATTTGTTTGTCAGTGTGTGTGTATGTGAGTTTGTTTACTCACAAATCAAAGCTATCTATACCATAATATGGTGGTTTACTTCTTTTCCTTCTTCTTCTTCTTCATACAAACAATTCGAATAGCAAACTTCAGTAAATGAAGAAAAAAGTGGATGGAAAAAAAGATAAAGAAAGGTTATGTATTTTCGTTTGCCGTAACATATGAATTATGATCTATGAATTTATCTGTTTATTTGTCCTTATTTAAACAAAAATGATCCATGTTTTTCTTTAAGGTTGATACAATAAAAGATTTATGAGTTAATATTATAAAATGACTGTTTGTTAAAGTCAAAAAATGAAAGATGTTCATTTTAAAAGTAATTTCTATAGAGGATTGGTGTCAATTGTATTTACATTCCAAACAAGATAAAATTAGCAACTTTTACATTTTCTTAAAATGTAACCTTTAATTTTGTAATTATGTGATGTGTTTTATTTTTAAGGGTATTATTTTAGTATTGTTGTATTTTTGGATAATAATCATATAATAGTATGGCGTGAAATAACTATAAAGGTTCTATCGGCTAATTTTAATAACTTTTGTCTAATTATCCGGAAAAATACGAAGACTCGTTAGAATCTCAAGTAAACAATCTGTTTTGTTTACATAAGGATTGAAGAAATTCAAATAATGACTGAATTACCGTATAAATCCTTCATTAGATATTTCTGCTTGAAAATATCATGTATACAGGATTTGTAATAGCTTAGTTGGTCTATCTTAACGACGCAGTTCTTACTAGAAATATTTTTAAAGAAAACACTTATTGATCACTGTACAGTATCTAATAACGCCATTTTGTCTTGTACTTGGTATTTATCTACTTACAAAGATCAAATTTCTTTGTCTTCATCAGTCTAAGTAGATTGAATATCCAATCAAAAATTACACAAACATGAACTATTTTATAAGGCGAAATGTAACTGTTCACAGGGAATGCTATGTAAAGTTTGTATAGATCTTCATATATGTCACCAAATAATAAATCAAGAGCTTGGTATAACTATGTCTATCTGATGAATATCAGTTAGGAGATTTTGATATACAAAAGTGTATATAGACAACCAAATTGAATATCTTATTTTTTCTGATAGTAGATCAACCGAGAGAAGTAATGTTTGAAAAATATCCGTTGTTTCACTTAGTAAACAATAAAGGCAATTCAGCTCAGGAAACTTTATTCCACGATATTATTTATCAAAATTGTACAGTCATGTTTATGATGATTTATTAAATTTATGCTTTCATAGAAGCGCAAGAGACTAGATCGCACAGTGATGTTTTCAACATGGGATTAATTAAAATTCTTATCATTTTATAATTATACTGACCGAAATATAAATGAAACTACTCTCAAAAAATTGTAAATAAATATTTAGGTTTTGTGATGTTTTATTCTCAAGTTCATCTAAACTTCCGGTTAAATCCTATTGGGACATCCCTAGTTTTCTTTAAATTAATATGGATAAATAAATAATATAGAATCCCTAATAATAGAACTTATAAAAGAGAATAAATATTTGTTTTCTTTATCAAAATAAACAAAAAATTATCTCAAATGTAAGTTAACCAAATAATTTCTTTTAACCTTGAACATCACACTTAATAATTATCTCATTGAGGTAATAAAATGAAAACATTTCACACTCAGTAATGAATTTAGCTACTAAGCAATTGAAGAAAAAAAGCTGTTATCAGTGAAGTTGAACCATCTCAAATGTAAGATAGTTTTGCAATACAGAGAACTGATTGAAGTCACGTAATCAAACCAGTGGATGATGGCACACTACATTAAAGGCCAAATGCTCATCGTGAGATCTGCAGGTCTTCAAAGGTTGCAAATGTTCTTTGCTAAGTTTTATGCTAGAATGAAATAACTATCCAACACTTGTTCGTTTTCTATAGCTATTTCGCTAATATCAGTCAGTGATATTAACGATAAAATAATTGAAAAGTTATGAATCACTAAAAACGTAATAATTTGAACATCAAGCACTCCAATGAATATCAGAACCTTCAGGCTTCATGAAAGATAAGATAGCATTCACATATTAAGTTGAATTCAATAGTTAGCGTTCGCGACACACTATACCATGCATTTTATATGACATTATCCTCATTCCTGAGTTGTTCAAGTTGATAAATCATTAAATTTCATTAAAATATTGAGTTATTTATTTAGAGTCAAGTAACAAAGGAATAGTAAATTAATAATAACGTTAGTAAATTATTGGACTTCAATATATTTAGCTATAACTATTGTCATGAAACGAAATCGGCTTCAGAACTACATAAAAACAACTTTTATCTTTATAATACTTAGTGACTAGGAACAGTAATATTTACTTCTAAATGTTTCTTATTATCCTTACTCGTTCTGTGTAAGATTGTATTATTACGAAATATAATGACGAGATATTGAGTACACGTGGTAATCCTCAATTTAATACATACCTTTCTTTAAGTTATGTCAGTGATAGGAACGTTCTCTATCTAGGTTAAGATATATTCAAGATAAAACATTTCAAGGTTATTGTTTATCTGTACTTTATTATGATTTCTGAGAGGATAAAGTTTCGATGAGTATTTTATTTTGGTCCTATATTATCTGGAGAATCATTGAAAGTCAAGGAAAAACAAATATTGAACACCATTGACGTCACTTGATATTAATCTTAGTACAAGCTTCAAAATCAAATATTGTATTATTTATCATTTAAGTTGACAATATACCTGAAAGTTTTGAAGATGATTTTATGTATGATCATTGAGTGTATACTTTTGAAAAGATTTTTTATAGCTATCCTGATTAAAAAGTATCAAATGATCAATTTGTATTAGTGAATTTACTCATCTAGAGTTGATAAACTTCTTAAATTTAATTCTATAATTTTGAATAATTTGAGCATTGAGTAGATTGTTATAAATAAAATAAATATATCTGTAATATCCCAATGAGTAGAAACAATTAGATTTTCTGACGTTTCACGACTCAGTGTAAGCTACTTCTTCAGAAAACAAATAATTAAATCAGCACTATTTAAACTTGGATTAGTGTTAATTTGGTTATTTATTCTCTGAAGAAATGGCTTACACTGAGTGACGAAACTTCCGAAAATTTAATTTTTCTACTCATTAGGATGTTATAAATGTACTATTTATTTGTCTTAAATTTACGTCTATTTACATGTTTTTTTTAAAAAAAAACAATCTAAGAATCTTAATGAAACAAGTATGATAAATGTTTGTTTATGGATAGAATTGTCACAATATTGGTAAGTGATAATGTTTTATGTAAACATAACTGACGTGATCATATAATAGAAAACAAAAAAACAATTGCTTTCATGAAAATGTTGCCTTGACAACTAAACTTCGAGATTTATCTTAATTTTGTAAAATTGTTCTTATGGCCAAATCTCAGGGTTAAAATATTATGTAGAATTTAATTATTTAAATTTTTTTAACCATATAGAATACATGACAAGATGTTTGACATGTATAGAATTGTTGAGTCATTTGACTTTTCAAACAATTTGTTTATTCTCTTACCTATAAGCATTAATAATGTGTAAGTAATTCTTATCTATCATGGTAACAAGATTATTAACGAGGCAATAAGTTGGAAAAAAATAAAATTTTTAATGTATATTCTTCATTAAGGTGAACTCTTTTGAACAATAACAAATTGATAGATTCTTTATAACCTGAAATGACTTGTTCTACAGAAGCGTTAGAAATTCCTTCATCAAGTGAGAATAATTACAAGTTTCATGGATAAATACAATGTATTTAATTTTAACAAATTACTGTAATTGTTAAAGTTGGAATCCAAACTATGCCTGGAAACTGCATCAATATGGTTGAATTTCCTAATTATTGTTTGATTAAATACCAGGTTCCTTTTATTTATACTTCCATGAAAATGAATTATTTATATTATGGTCACATTACATACTGTTTAATGAAATATTTATTGAAGATACTTTTTATTATTACTAGACTAAGAAACAATTCGCGTTTGGTTTCACAAATCAGAAGAAAGAATTGAACGTGGACCAAATATTTATAAACAGCGTTACATTTCTAACTTAATACTACAAAATTTAGAAACATTATGGCTTATGGGCTATTAAGTTCTATGACTTTGTCCATTCAATAATACGCCTTCTTACGGTTCATCAAACAGTTATGAGGAAGAAGATTATGTAGAAAGGTTTACTATGAAAAGCCAAAACATTTTCCTTACAACTCATGGGTGCATCAACGTGTACAGATTAAGCCAGATAGGAAAATCTGAACAGTGATCTTGGTTAGACAAATAATCCAGTTAAAATAACCGCCAAACACTTGCCTCGAACTTATCATGTGACCTAAAAAGAGTTTGAAATTTGTTGAAACTTGCCCAATATTTAACCATCCTATGGTAATGAGTATGTACTCCACTTGAGATATAATGATTGAAGATTAACAGGATAAAATGAGATTCCATTAAAATCCCCCAATGTCAAAAAGATTATGGTATTTTCTTACGTATTTCAAGGAATTCTTTATTTAAATCAACAGTGTTTTGACACAAATTGTAAATATTTTTATGCTCCTAAAAGGGAAGCACGTGAATAGTTTGAATTAACAAAATGGATTAGAGATTTACTAATGACGCATCCCAACGAGAGTGTAGACGTTTATTGGATCAAACTGTATACATTTACGAAAAGTGGAAATTCCACTTATTTGGAAGTGTTGTGCTCTCTGAGATGGTGTAGCTGTGAAAGTTTCATTGTCTTGTTGTAAATCGTCACCAGCACATGTTTCAGAGAAGAGTGAGTTATTAGAATTTTTCCACAACCGACCAACAACTTATCCTGTTAACATAGAATTTAGTTGGTTGTTGTCCAGAAATACCATATGCAATGTAATTTACCGTAACTGCAGCAAACGCTACATAGAACAAAGAAACCTCCCACTTTGTCTACATTTACTTGAGCACCAGTTAGCTGTTAAACGCAACAATATAGTTTTACTTATATGGATGTGGAACACTTCAGATATGACCTCGACTCCGAAAACTTAGAAATATTGAATAGAAGAGTCTAAAAGTAAACGAGGAAAGTTTTAGACGCCTAGGATCCCCGGTTGGGCAGCAATTTATAGATGTATCTACATCATCCAAGTCTATCAGAATAAAATGAAGGACTGACCAGTAAAAGGTCAGTAATAGGTTTATTAAAAAAACATGAATAAATAAACATACAGACAGAGGGCATACAATTATAGATAACAACCGACCAAACTCTATATCAAGAGAATAAGTTGTTGGTCGATTGTGAAAAAATTCTAATAGCACACCTCTCTGAAGCATGTGCTGGTAACGATGTCCAATAAGACAATGAAACCTTCACAATTGCACTATTCAGATCAGAGAACACAATATCAGTATCATCATTCTAAGATACAAATAAAATTCATCATTTCGAATTCGATTTAAATCGAAGTGTCCTAAAAGAAAGCAAACTAATAAGCGGCTTGATAGGTTCTGTGAATCCACTCACTTCAAAGTGAATTTAGCCTCTATAAAGCAAATTGTCGTTAGTTAAAGATTTAATCTCGGATGCATAAGGACAGATTTTATGTAAACCAGCTTCGTTATGGATAGTGATTACTATGATTTACAAGATTGTTTGCTATAGATGGATACCTTAATAAATCTTCAATTTTATTAACTTAATCTACCACATATTATAAAACATTTGGCTATTTGAGCTTTTTATAATTAATCAAAGTTGGAACTCACCAGTAGGTGAATAGAATTCCATTTTTTCCAGTAGAATTTACATTGTGTGTGGTGTTCATTTGTTATAATCTGAAGGGCTAAAGAACAATAGGTATAAAGATACATTACTTGGTAAAAAAGAAAACGGTTACTTTGATAATAAACATAAACTTATTTTTAATACATTGTTCATAAAAACTTAAAATGTTCCTCATTCATAGAGTTGAGTGTTTAGTTCTTCAGAAATGGTATCAACATTTTGACACAATTACTAACATAAACATTTTTTGTTATAAGTAATATTTCAAAAAAAATCATGGTAAATGGAAACAAATCTTTTTAGGGAGGTGTTCTAGCTTCATTTGACTCATGCTTTCAACTATGAAAATACTAAATCTCCACAAAACCCCTTCTGATTATAATCATATGCTCACTAGTGACTGAATTCAAAAGATGATTCTTGGAATTCAAGTGAGAAGCAGTGACCAGTGGAGTTCTAACCAGGTCTGTTGTGAGATAGGAACTCACTGAAGATGATTGGTGAACGGTTGCTCAAATTCGTGGATCGGTTGAAGTTAGACATCAACACCGTTGGATGACGGCTGGCTCAGTGGTCTATCAGTTAAGTACTCTGGCGCGAGACTGGTAGGTCCTGGATACGAATCTCGCGAGGCGAAGTCGTGGATACGCACAGCTGAGGAGTCCCACAATAGAACGAAAAGACCGTCCAGTGCTTCCATGTTTTCCTTGATGGTCTAGCTTCAATCGACTCATGCTTTCAACTATGAAAATACTAAATCTCCCCAGAACCCCTTCTGAGAAAAGTGTCTATCATTATTTAGGAATACATCATTATCCTAATGAAGAAAGCTCATGGTTCATATGATTTTATAATCTCTAAATAGTTTTCATTGTTTCACTAAAAAAAATCATCAGAGATGAAAAATTGTGATTATCGAACCTTAATCAAATATTTTGATCTCATATGGTTTGTGGCATAATCATTTTTGAACTATTCTATCAAAAGTTTTGATCAGATTATATTCTCTGAGCTTTATGATCTTCTTATCTTTATAGACGATACTTCAAAATTATTTTTATTAGGTTTATAAGCTTAAAAAATTTAGGTAAACATATTTCCAGATATATGTTTTAGGTTTTCAGAGATATGAAAAAAGAATCATCTGAATTTGTCCATTTCTGGATTTCTCTGAATGATTTGAAATTTATTATTATAGTCTAAATTTGAATGTTTGAGTAGTTTGTTTATGATAGGTAACAGTTTCGCAATACAGTATTTCTCTTCATTAATAGCTTTATTAAACATTTATGTTAGATAACTTAAAATAGTTTACATCAGTTCATTACTGAGAAAAATGTATTGGACTTATTGTGGGTAGTGAAAAACGAAAAAGTTTTAAAGCATATGAAATAAAATATTACAGTAAAGAATTAGGTCAACATGCAACAGTTTACTTTATTGATCGAAAAGTACACCTTGTCAGTTACTCACATGTATTTAATATTCCCGATTGTTGGAAATAGGCACCAGTTAGATTCAAAGTCTTGTTCAAAGTTTTTAGAAATAACAAAGGATAATGTTTCTCCTGGAAAACATGTGGCCATGTAACAATGAATTGGTGATCGGCAGCTGATTTATGCCCATGATTCATGGTTACTATCAGCTGAGTGTTATCTGGAGATTTGGATATTTTGCTTAGAATATTTATAGAACCCTATATTTTGATAACAATGTAAAAGGAGCGAGGGAACTGGTCGTGAAGTGTAATAAACAAAATTAAACATCCAAGTTTTATTACTGTTCATTATAAAATATAGCTGATTTATAATTAACATAAATTGATTTGTGTTAGTAAGTTTAAAGCTCCTGGTCGAGTTCAGTATGATAAGAATTAACTAGTGGTTTTAGACATTAGGTGACATAAGTCAAAATCGGCTCAGCTATATTCTCAATTTGTCATCACAGAAATCTTTAGTTTAATATTACTCCATACCTTTTATTACTGTCCTGAAATTTATATATGTTTAGCTTTCAGCATTAATGAATGTAACTGCCTCATATAATTATTTTCCTGTTTTAATCTTGTTATTTTCTCTCCAAATTTATTCAATTAAGACTTCGTTAGTTTTGTTCATTTAGATTTTATTATTATTTCATTGTAATCACGAATCGGTTGATGGTAGAACACCATAAGAAACCTGGAAGCACTGGACTGCTGTTTCGTCCTCAGAGTTGTGCATTCACGATCCAGCTAGCAGGATTCGAACCCAGGGCCTATGATCTCGAGCATAAGCACTTAACCTCTGGACTACTGAGCCGTGATCCATCGATGTTAATGTCTAACTTCAACCAATTATTATTATATGACCATTAATCAGTTTCCACTCCTATTCAAAATGATCTTCATTCACCTAATTGCAAAATCATACCTAAATATTTCCTCTTGTTGTCGTGTTTTTCTAACCTTTAGCTCCGCATAAACCCAGATGTTTCTAGTAAGGTTGATCAATTATTCATCACACATGCATGCTAACACAAAATATTTATCACTCACAAAACCTCATATAAATCAATGAAAGTGAATTTGCGGATATTCAGTTGGGTTATTTATTTTATTGCCTTATAAGGATTATAAATTCAACTGATAAGTAGAGATCAGTTTAACACTAATGTGCATCAAGTCGATTTATTAAGACAAGGGATATAGAGAATTCGATCACCACTTAAATATCGACAAATATGACACATAAGTTGATCTTATACGCAGGTATATGGCCTAGCAAATGATATCAATTAGTCACATGCATTACAAAACAGGTTAGCTTTATGATAACCTCGTTTTCATAATAGCTAATACAAATCTCTAATCATAATTATAAAATCTAGATAGCTTATTGAAATTTATAAGTATCCAGTTGTTCATTTAAACCAAATGGTTTTAGAATATTAAAAACAATCATCATGTTTTCAATGGCGCTCAAAATGAAAATCATCTACCTGTTTCAAAATATTCGTGTTTAAAATAAAACCAGCATAATGTAACCTTTCCATATGATCATCTTCTTTCTTATCAGAATCTAGAATATAATTCTGATAGCTTATCAATTTAATTTTAATATCTTTTTTTCTTTTGGAAGTTTTCACATTAATTAATTCATATTTAATTGTTTTATTTTTATAAATATTATTTTCATTTATTATTAATTGATTTGATTCAATAGAATAAGTTATATTCCTTAAAGACGTTCTAATATATACCGCTTTCTTTTGATCTTCTGATAAATAATCAATATAGATTTCATTGTTATCATTTGAAATATTTGAGTTTAATAAACTGATAACTTGACTTTTATGCAAATCACTTAACATAATAAAATGTATTGATTTTTTTTCATTTTTCATAATCAGTTTAGTAATGAAATTGTTTTGATCTAATGGATCATACTTTGCATAAACTTGAACATATAGATTTTTTGATTGTTCATTCATTTTATTTATATTAATATCAATGGTGTACGGAGTGATTTTTTCAATTATACGATGAAAGTTTACATGTATGTTGGAGTTGTAAACAGTATTTTTATACATTTGTAAATAACTCTTGAGTACTATTATAAATTTATTTTCATTATTTGGAGTGTTCGCTTGCATCATCAGATTAGACTGGTTAACATTGTTACATAATAAATTTTTTGTATATCCATAATGATCTAACTTAGTTACTAACCGTTTGGATACAATATTATGTTTTATTGAAAATAAAAAGTCTAAAGATGGAATATATAATAAATTAGAAGATAAATTCAAGTTTGTTGTTATAAATCGATAAGTTTGTGTAATATCATTATATAATTGAAATTGAAAATTAAGATCAATATAGTTAGGGCTAACTAAAATAAAATCTATTGAATTATTTTCATTATTTATAAGTGAAGATTGTGTAGTAATTTGTTGTATATTTTGTTTTTGATGATTTAAATTATCAGTAGTATGTAATAATATTGAAATAAATTTAAAAATATTTGTTTTAAAATATAAAAAATTATTAATATTTATAAAAAATAATGATTGAAAAATATCATAACTTATTATTAAATAATTTTTATTAGATTTAAATATAATTGAATAATTAGTTTGTTGATTCAAATTTATTTCAATTAAATAATTTTGATTTTGTTTAAATTTTATTAATTGATTTTTTAAATTTATTTCATATTTTAAAAATAATAAATTTTTATTGATTATTAATTCACTTTGTAATTGATAATAAATTTGTTTATTAATTTGTAATGAATAATTAAGTATTGTTATATTATTAAATGGATCAATTTTATTATTATTTTTTAAATATATATTTATTTCATTGATTTGATGCTTAATTAATATTGGTAAATTGGAATAAAAATTTAAAGTAATTAAATTAAATAAAATATTATTTTGTTTATTTGAATTAATTAATTTTATTGATAAATTATGAATATTATTATTATCATTATTATTATTATTATTTATTATACATAAATAATTTTTTAATTGATAAATTGTTTGTTTATTTAATTGATTGATTTTAATAGTTTGTAAATAATTACCTAATTGATTTCGTTGATCAAATAATGAAATATTAATAAAATGAATAGATGAAGAATTCATTATAATTTTTTTAATTTCTAAAAATATTTTATATTTTTTATTAATATTAATTGAAATCGATAGATTATTATTATTTATTTGTAATAATGTTAATTCAATATTATTTGATTGATTATCATTTTTTATATGATTATATTCAATTAAATCATTAGTTGTTCGATTATTAGTTATAGGTTGGATTAATTTGTTTTCTGTCATTGTTACATATGGTAATTTTATATATGGTGTTATTGATTGAATATATAATGTTAACACTTGGATATTAGATTGATTATATAATGTTTGTACTACTGACATATTGAATAATTTCCATTCACTGTTATCGTTTGTATTTTGTATTAAAATTGAAAACTGAAATGGTTTAGATTGAATTGGTAATAAATTTTCATTTAAATCTGATATTATTGGATGTATTTTGATGAATGATAAAATTTTAGGTAAATATGGTAGAATTTCAATGGATCCATTGAAAAACCAATCGATATCTCTAATAGATAGATTATTTTTTAATTGAATATCAATTAATTGTATATTGATTAAATCATTTGGTATAATTTTTATACTAAACTGAAAATTATTGAAACTTTGCAATTGTAAATCAATATTTAATATATTTTTATTATTAGCTGTAGTAAACAAGTTATAAGAAACAAAATCAGATTGTTTTTGTTTATATGAATGTTCCATTGAATATTCATAAGAATTTGTTTGATTTTGAAAAGAAATAAATTCAAACAAATTTTTTATTTTATAATTATTGATCTGTTTTATATAAATAATGATTGTATTATTTAATTGAAAATCAATATGATACAATGAAATTTTATGATTACCACAATAATTATATTTATGGATTGAATAATTATATTTTATTTCATTTATTTTAGTTATATTTCCATGAATTTTATTATTCCATAATTGATCTGTTAAATTATAATAAATATTGAAAGAGTTATTAAAATAATTTTGAATAAATAATAAATAGATAGATGAATTCCAATCTCCGAAGAATTGTTCATATACAGTTGTATTCATAATATTCTTTATATATTTATAAAATAATATACTACTCATATGACTACTTATTATATTGGTATTCCATTGTAAATATAAATAATTATATACATTTGAAGATTTCATTAATTTATTTTTAAAGTATAATGATTGATTGAAATAATAAAATGTTATTGATTGATTGATGAAAATTAATAAATTTTGTTGAATAATAGAAGATGATTTATTGTAATTTAATTGTTCTTTTACAATGAATCTCAAATTATTCCATGGGATAAATAAACTAATATTTGAATAAATAGGAAATAATAGAGTTTCAATAAATTGAATATCGAAATTTAAATAAAAATAAGGTTTGTTTAAATAAATTGTAGAAATTTGAAATTTTGTTTGATTACTTTGTAATAAATGATTATATTCTATAATATTGTGATGAATTAATCCAGGTCGTCCAATTTTAAATAAAATATCAAATTGATAATCATTTTGATATTGAATAATGAATAATTCAATTTGATAACCTTTTGTACCACGACCTTCATATAAACGATATCCAATTAGACAACGACTAATGAAATCGATTGATTTCTTATTATCAGAGGAATCTAATTGATATTCCATCATAGTATTCATCATTTCATATCCAATATAATGACCAATTAATTGAGAATCTAATCCAACTTCTAAATTACCATGTTTATATGATTTATCATGTTTAAAATTAATTCTTATACGAATTGGTGAACCAGGACCTAATGAATTAGTTGTACTATATTCAGTACGTATTTCAAATAATTTTTGATTTAAATTTAATTGCAATATATAATTACTATTTAAATAAAATCCAGAGAACCAATGATTTAATAAAAATGATTGAACTGATAACATATTAGAACCTTCAATATGATAATCAACATTATGCCATCTATGTTTAAAATGATAAATTAAATAAATAAATGATGAAATTTTACAATTTATTATAAAATATAATGAATCATTTATTGATTTCCAATTGATCAATAAATGATTCTGTATATTTGATTGGATATTGATTTTAAAAATGATATTAATTATTGATTTATAATTAAAATCATAATTTATATTCAATTGAATATTATCATTAAATTGATTATTTAATTGATTATTGAATAATTCAACTAATATATCACCATTTAATTTTTTAAAATTTAATTTTAATTTTCCCATAATATTTTTATTTATTTTATAATTTAATAAAAGAAACTTAATTTTACTTTCACATATAAATTTAATATGTAATGGTATTAAGTTTATATTATAATAAAATTGTAAAATTAATTCTAATTGTGATATTATATCTTCATGATTAGAGATATTACTTAATTGATTAATATAAGTAGTATTGAATCGTTTAGTTTGATGTAAAATAAATAATTTTTGTTCATCTAATTTAAACATTATTTGATTTTTAATAATAAAATATTTATAATGATTAAAATAGATTAAATGATCTAATGTTATTCCACTATATAAATCTATTGGTATTATATCATAAATAGTTAAAATTTGAATGATTTTTAAATTTGGCCATTGAAATGTAAATTCATGTTGATTACGCCAAGGTTGTAACCAACTTTTGATTGAATAAATTTTTTGATGATCTTGATCATTATATTCCATAAGTATAGATGATAATAATTGATTTTCGATATCATGTAATAAGATTAATTTGATAGATTCTTTCATAGATTTACAATAAATATCAGTTGTACTATGTAATCTATTGATAGTTCCAATATCAGTTAATTTCCATTCTAGTTCATTGTTTAGAATAAAACCTTTTTTCTAGTTTTAAAACAGAAAATGAAATGAAAGTATTAGTTGAGTTAATGAAAATACAATTTGAAGATTTGTGGAGATTGTAGTATTTTTACAGTTGAGTTCACTTGTCTATCTAAGATAGACCACGATTGTTAACCTTAAGGATACGACAGCCGAAGGGCCTAGTTTTGAGTCTCTAGTGCTGGATCGTGGATGCACAATACCGAGGTGTTCAGTACTAGGATGAAACGGCCGTCCAGTGCTTCCAGGTTTTCAGTGGTGGTATAGCTTAGTTCAACTCATGAATTTAATTGTGAAAATACAGTTAATGAAGACTCATTGACATTTAAAACTGTTTTTTCATCTATGAAACATTACATCAACATTTATTAGATTTAATACATCCAAAAGTGAGTTAACGAAACTGTATCACTTTTTCATGTTTTCACCACTAATTTCATAACGTTTGCGTTCACAGACTAAATTAAATTTATTTGTAATACTTAAAAATGTTTGCAAATCATAGAGCAGGTAAAGTTCTGCTTCAATGGTATTTATATCACATTTATTTTCAATTCTGACTTATTATTCATTGACCAGTAAATAATTTAGGCACGCGATTTCAATCAGTTATACCATAGACACTTAACCTTGCAACTAGATTATATATATTAAGAATTATTCATTGATTCTGTTTTCTGCTAACTATTTAGCCGCGAGATATGAATATATTTTGCAAGTAAACAATTAGTTCAACCACTTGAATAATTGTAGTTTTAAAAAATGTGATTGATACTTCTGACTAGTTGTAGACAAAATCATGTTTTGCTTTTCTGCTCCAATAAATGCCGTTTCTACTGTTAGTCATTTTTTTTAAAAAAGTTGGGACATGCGTTTGTTATCGGTTGATAGAAAATTTGAAAAGTGTACTGCAATGTAGTGAAATAATAGTGTATTCATACGTAATTTAGTAATTGCTTATTGAGTGTTAGAGGTAGGATATTTAAATCATAGGGTATGAGATTGTGACATATATCAAAATACTGATTATAGTTTCAGGCAATAAGTAAACTGAAAGAAGAGAACAAAATATATGTGGGTATTAATATTTCATATTTAAACAATAAGTTCATGATTTAGAAGTCTCACCTCGGTGAACAACTAGATTAGATGATCACAGCATTATAAGGAATTTACGTCGGTATATCAAGTCGCTTATTTTTATGTTATGTAGATTGAAATTTCTCATTGGTAAGGTGATATCTGAGAACTTAGGTAAGCACTTTCTTTGAGGAAGTGAATGATTTAAATTTTTGTAATGATCCTTCTAGAGTTCTGATGTTGTGTTAGACTATCTGATGGAATTTAAAAATAAACTAACTTCTCTTATCAAACTTACAATGAAAGCAAGGATAGACTGGTAAATAGGAAGATAATTATACGTGATTTAAATGGCTTATAACCATCTGTAGACCCAGGGATTCTTGTTTAATCTGCTAAAATATCATTATATATTAACGTAAACATATTTAGGTGGGCACAACATAAAAATTGCCATGAGTTTATAAAATTTTAAGGAAAATTGATGCAGCTTCATAATAAGTGGTTTGTAATCATTGTGTTTTTCAAGGCATTCTGAAAACTTAAGTTACGGATTGTAACAACCAGTTTTGATGTATTAATAAGTAAATTTATGAATCAGTCGATAACACTTTGGTAATATGGTGTTTTATATATGTAAAAAGAATAACACTGGTAATTCGGGAACTAGATTGGTCAAAATCTTACTTCGTCGGCAAAAGTAGAGGTGACTGACGTTTTAATACTCCTTGAGTGTTGAATATTAACCCCATGATTAGTCAATAATGAGAATTGACGAAGACTACTTCTATTTGGAGACACGACATAAATATTAATGTAAAATTTAGTCGGCTGTCCATAATACGGAGTCAGAAATTCCTTTGTTTTAAACATATTGATGGTACATTCGTAATCGAAGCTAGAGAAAATTAAAAGAAATATAGTTAATACTCACATGATAAATATTAGACATCAAATCCCAGTGTATACATCAAGATTGTATTATTCAATCTATATCAAGCCAAACAGAGAATATAAATGACATTTATATTCCGTCGATACAGTTAAACAATTTAACTGATCACTTCTAAACATTTTATCGTTTTTCATATCATTAATTTTGGCAACACAGCTGATAATATGCTAGTAATTAGCAAAGACCATCGTAGCGGTTCCTTTGATATATTTCGTTATTTACTTCGAGTTCCGATATTTTAACTCATTAAATATCTTCAGAAAAATCACATTTAAATAACCTCTTGGTGTCTTTTAGCGGTACGTAAACCCTAGATTCAGATCGAAGATGATTGTTTATACAATTAAATATCTTACAGATAAATTGTATTTGTTTTAGTAAATCTGGTTGACTTGCAATAATAAGTAAACAATTAAAATAATTCATTGTCACCAAAGCTATTCATCGATGTGAAAAAGTAGATTCGTTTTTTATTACTTGGACATTCTATCGGTCAAAGTAAATCAAAAGCTTGATGAACATAAACAAACTTCATATTCCATTGCTGGTGTTTCGTATGAACGATATTTCTGATTCTAAGTGGTGGGGTGAAGCAAAGCACTTTTCATTTAATTGCCAGTTAGTTTATCGATAATCTTCACAAATTAGTATCTGGATCTAGTGTTGAATAGGGTTTTTTGCATTAGATACAAGTGAAGGGAATGGTGGACAGTCATTTCACTCTATGCAGTTTTTAAGTTATAAATTAAGGCACTCACATAATTTGCAAGTGATGATCTTATATTTCAAGAGTTAACAAGAGTTAAGAGTTCCTTCGGATAATCTATGCTAACAAGTAGTTATGACAAATACTTAGGTCGTTAGATGAAATACTGTTAAATTTAGAAACAGTACTTTTCTACCATTTGTAATGTACAGTTGTGGCAGTCTAACTCGTGCCTTACATTTCAAGAGAGAATATAAGACTTTTGAGGTGCATGTGAATTCATTCGTCGTTTGCATATCAGAAAATAAGTAGTTGTGTTGGTTGGTAAGATTTCTATTTAATTCCCAAGAATTATTTCTGAGTTTTTTCCAGCATACGTTACTTCCGACAGCTGACTGATATTTGAATTTCTAGTATCATTTTGAGCTCATTTCTTTGGTATTTGTTGAAAAGACGGTAAGTCATAGTGAGATACTTGAGTTTTATTGTTTAAATTAATTACATTGTATTTTATACATATTTTCAAAATGACCAATTCAAAATAAATGATGTTAACTTGAATGATTAGAATCGCTAACGAAGACTTAGTAATATGCATCTACAAGTGACTTTGTTAAGTAGTGATCGTAGGGAGTCGACAGGATACCGTAGACCAGGGTTTCGTGCCATTTGGCACTCATCAGTATAGTGTACCTGTGGTCTGGAGGGAACTGATACTCCCTAACAAACCCAACCGTGATCAATCAAATTAACAACCAAAGACGTTACCATTGAGCTATCTGGGCAGTGACTGACCTCCTGTGGGACTGAGATGTATTTAGAATTGATTGGTCACTGAGTAGTGACCAATGCCAAATGTTTATGTCCTTCTTGGTGCAGATCGAATTCTATCGAACAAGTTGTAAGGTAGACAGCAGGTGACTCAACATCGCGAGCACTTTAATAAGATGTAAAGTAGTGGTCGATAGAATTCGATTTGCACTAATAGGGATCTGAGACACATGACACTGATCACTAAGCAATCATCAATCAGTCGAAAAATGACCTTATTTGGTACTCTGTATCAAGTAAAATATTTCAAACTGACAGAGTGGGATTGTGCAATGATTTATCCTTAATCGTTGAAAGGATTAATGATGCAATTTTAGGATGGTATAAAATATAAAACTTAATGTTCGTACTAAATTACTTAACCCTACACGGATAATCATTTTTTAAAGCGTAGATAATAAAAGATCGAATGATTCTACCTCTTGTATTCAAAGTTAGAGATGACAGCAGGAGTATCTAATTTTTCATTGAATGCTTTATTAAAAATTGTTAATACTTTGGAAATGAACTATGTGACTGACTTAAATTTTGTTTTAACTAAGATTTTTATATTTGTAGAAAGGTATAGCTTGAGTAATCATATGTTTAGCATATTTTATAATCATGTATTAACTTTGGTGTGTTGGTAAATTTCCATTTCGAGTGATTTCATCACAAAATATGTGGCAGCTTAAAACAACTCGAAGAGTATACTGTGTTTCATTTGATTTACTTTAGTGATCTCCATTTATGTGCACATTGTGTGTAACTTCCGAAGATTTGTCGATAGAAGATTAGTAGCTAGATTTTACTATCAACTTGGAGTTTTATAAAACTTAGTATTAGGTTCTTATAATCATTCTCTGCAGAGATGTGAATATATCATGTTAGTTTTTTTGTGTCCTATCATCAAAAAGACGACTAATTACTTAAAGTTGTACCATGGTTGTATCATTTCATACAACTCATGATTTCAGTTCAAAGTGATTGTAAACGATTACCATTTAATACTCATAGCCGATACATATAAATCGTATAAAACCGAATATAGTATGGAAAATAAGTGATTATTGTCAGTATGAGTTGAATTTTATTTAAATCAGACAGCAGGAAGATGCCTAACGAATGCAACGAAAGATGATAAGGCAATGTGGCAGATTGATTGAAACTAGACTTTTACACCACTGGGTCCCGGTTCCGTGGTTTAGACGTAGAGTATCCGCGTATGAGACCGAGTGTCCCAGGTTTAACTTACAGTTGGGAGGTTTGTGGATCCTCATTGCAGAGGAGTCCCATACAAGAATGAAATGGTCCTCTTGTGCTTCCATGTTTCCACTAGGTGTTCATCCAAATTTCAGTATTAGTTGTCAAATAAGCATAAATCATGCATCGCTAAATCATCAATAAAACAATAGAAACTAGAAAAGTTTACTATATTGTTGTGGTCCCACTTTATGTTTTACCAACTTCATAAAATAGAATAAAAGGTTAATTATTAATATAATCCATCCATTAAATGGCCATCTAAACTGAAGATTAAACTACAGACTGATTCTAAATTAAAAACGTTTGATTTAAACAATGAGTTTCTTTAAGAAAAGTTCAAGTGAAGTTTTAGTAATTGTCCATTTAGTAATAAGTATCTACCACAATTTTCTATATTCATTGAAAAAGAGGATTTTTAGGTGTTTCTATTGTAAATCAGGTATGTTAATCATATTTTGTAAGAGATGTACAGTTGTGGAGCCACAAATCATCAGTAAGTACTTTGAAGAAAAGTGGCCTATTAAAATTTCTAAATAGTTAACTAGCGGTTTGTTCTATTGACATGGAATCCTATTGTTTATTATGCACAGGTTTGTGTAGCCAGGCTATATGTTTGTTTGACATGTTTTCTCTCCTGATTTAAATTATGACATTGTAGTTGTTATTCTTTTTTATCAAATATTCTCCTGCACTATCTTTTATAAACATTTTTTTGTATAACTGTTCTGTGAAAGCATCTTTGGTTCTATTGATCGAATAAATGATGATATTCTCTGTAGTGTCGTGCTTTGTTAATCGTTCACTTTGATAACCGTTATAATTCCAATCCTAACGGTGCACAAAATCAGAAGGCAAAGAGAAACGGCAACCACAGTTTAATATCGATTAACTCTCAGGCCAGAAAGCTACCAGCACTCGAGCGAATTTCAGAGAGCCAGCGAACAGCAATCCAGCAAGCGAGTAAGCAAACGACTGAGCAAGCGAACGACTAGCAAGCAATCACACAGGCACTTTATAGTCAAGTTTAATAAAGGCACAGCAAAACAAAACAAAAGCTGATAATAGGATTTGCGTGCATACATATATAAAAAGGAATATGAGTCATCGAATGGCACTTAAGCAATCAACATTTTGGCTAGTGGTCAAACAGTGCAAAGAATATTTAAATTGTTATTGTCCAAATGACGATGTCTGTTAAGTAAGTTAAAAAAAGGGCTTAACCAAAATTAACCATAACTGAAATTGATTGTAGGATGGTTGCTATATCTTAAACGATTACTCAGTTGCTTTTCTTTAATTGACATTTTACAGAAAACTACTACTCAAAAGCTAAGAATTATAGTGATATAGTTTAAATCACATAAGTTTAAAACTTGAAGGATTATGAAATATTTTAGTAAATTAAAATCTTATTCATCTAAATAATTGAATTGTTATAACTTGTTATGTAAGAAATAACTACTATCTTTATACAGAATCTTAATTTCTGAAAACGATTCAAATTCGAACAGGTTACTCTTCTAACGCTTTAAAATACTTATACAATCTATAGTAGTCCATTTAGAAAACAAATTTGACAAGTCAATTTCAATTTCAAAAGGGGGTTTTGTGGAGATTTTAGTATTTTTATATGGTTGAGATCATGAGTCAGTTGAAGCTAGACCACCATGGAAAACCTAGAGTCACTGGACGGTGGTCTATCGGTTAAGTGCTCGCAAGCGAGACTCATATGTCCTGAATTCGAAACTCGTGAGGCGGGATCGTGTATGCGCATTACCGAGGAGTCCCACAATAGGACGAAACGGTCGTCTAGTGATTCCAAGTTTTCCGTGGTGGTCTAGCTTCAGTTGACTCATGACTTCAACTTTATAGATTTTCATTTATTGAAATAGTTAACACAAAACCAAAAAGAAAACCATTTAAACTGAAAATGTTATTATTTTCTCTCCATTTTGATTTGGTGAATTTTTTTTTTGTTTTGCTTATTTTCTTTGATCAGCTTTTTATATAGTTTACGCTCACTCTATGAACGTATTAACTTCTCCTTATTCCACTTTGTGATTATTGTGTTTTTTATCATACTCGTGAAATTTGAATAATCTAGACAAAGATTACACTACAAACTATAAACAAACATGTGTTTATTATTATGGGATTCATTTGAGAGTTTTACAGATCTGTTTCATCATTTATTTAAGTATATATATATTTATATATGTATGATTTAGAAATGTAAAGATCTGAGTAAACGTTGAAAAAGTCAGTAACCATATATTTCGCCTTAGTAACTATGATTTTAAAAAAACAACATAGTAAGTGGATTAAGTATTTATCTACTTCAGGAAAATAAAAAAGCACAAAAATTTGTTGGAATATTTCTTTAAAAAAAGTTATTGTTTCTATATTTATGAAGTTGTTTTTAGTATCCAACAGGGGTAGATGACGTTAAGCGTCTAGTAGAAAACAATCATTTTAAATACATTTTTTAATTGTGACAACTAAAACTAACAAAATATGTTGACATAAGGTATATAAATAGTATTTTAACTTACTGATTGGATACTGAGCTTTGAGCTTTTGTTTTACTGTAATAATAAAAAAGGGAAAAATATGCATTGTTAAATATTTAATAGTGAACTGACTCAAATGAAATTCTTTTTTTTTAATGGATGGCGTTTTAGCTATATAAAATCAAAATATTAGAATTATTTACAAAACGTCAATTCGCATTGACATATTACAGGGTATAGGAACTGATGATATTTGAGTAATTATGCGAAATGAAGTTTTTTTATCTACTATTTTTTTAATTAAAAAAAATGACAGAGTAGTCGTTTTAGTGGTTGTTACCAAATTCAACTAATCTGCAACTTATTCATCATCCTTCTGATTGCATAATACCTATTTTGAGAATTCTTCAGTTAATTTGTAATGCGTTTGTTTTAAGTAGACGGGTAACAGCCTTTGAAAATTTCAACAGCCATTAGAACTATTAAAATGAGTCTTTAACTAATATTATATACCTTCTTATACTTCCCGTGATCATTAATTAGTTTCATTTATTCTCTAACTAACTTAACTAGCAAATATGTATAAAGAAGATCATAAATAAATATATAGCTGTGTACATTCTGTTTTGTTAAGTACGAGCATTAATTACAACAACAACAACGTAGATTTGTATTTTGACTCGATTTGAAATATTTAACAATGCTGACCTATCATCATTTGATCATTCGGAGATCGTCATCTTGTAATATTATTGACAAAATGTATTTTCCAAAAATCACACTAATAGTAAGTCAGTTACTTGACTGTGAAAATAAATGCTGATCACTTTATAAGCTAAATTAACTAATTTAAAATATGGTTATCATTGAATTATGACTCGAGCTTGAATCGTTGTCTGATTCATTATAAGACTTACAGTTCTTGAGTTTGATTCCACTAAAAACCTTACATTCTTGCCGTTATGATGAATAGACGATTATATTGTAGAAATTAATATATTATACATTACACTGAGAAAGTTAATAGGTATTTTTAAAGGTATATATTAAATATTCAACTTGATGAAAACATACATACAAACATGAAAAACTAAACAATTAAGTTAATGAGAATAACATAATTGTAAAATCTCAGCGAATGAATTTGAAGTAAATCCAAGGAAATATTTCGTTGAAAAAGCTTGGACGAGATTGCTAGGCAACACGTTGGATTTACTTTAAATTTATTCACTGAAATTTTACAAATATATTATTCCTATTTATTGTCTTACATCAATTCGGCGCCCAAATACTATTGTGAAACTATTCGCTTTAATTAAAACGAAGGTTCTTATAAATTAAGTTAATAGAATAAAATCTCATAAAAAAATTTGACCACCCAGCTATCAATACAGAATGAAATTTTGGTAGCCTATTTAGCTGTTAACGATTTTTCGGCTTAATTATATTACTTTATAACTTAGTAATCTCATATAAATCGAATAGTTAATCAAATTAACCAAATATAGATGATAATTAATAATTGAATTAATTTGATCAATAACTTTATCTATTTTTATTTATTTGATAAGGAAATAATTGAATAGGACACATGAATCTGACTCTACTAGACTCAAGTATAATTAAGTTGTACTGATAAACTTCAATGATTCCGGAATATTGGGTCCTCTTTATTCATAAATGATAACAAAGTTATATTAGTAAATGGTTAGTGATATGGTGATGAGACCAAAAGATGTAAACGATACCTGTTTAGTTAGTTTAGTTTTCAGGTTTGGTAATAATTTATTCAACCATCAGTATGTTTAGTGAGTGAACCGTTCTTCTCCTTGATGATAATCTATTTTTGCTATCCATGAGATGGTGTTTAAGTATTTTTAAACGGCCTTACATTCCTTAAACGTTTGAATAAGCCAGTTAACAGGAATACATAATGTGATTGAACCAATTGGATTCAATTCAGTGATCAATACTACATGTTGCCTTAGTCGGTACATACTTTAAAATTATTGAAACTTCAGCTTTCATTCGAACACTTCTGTATTAAAATTTCAAAAAGCGGTATGGTGAAATGAAAAAAACACTTAGGCAACAAACATTTTATATTTGTTTATCTATTGTATTTTAGTCTATCGTTACACTTAATTACAGCTGTTATTTATTTCCCCATTAACAAAGTGAACTTTATCTCATCAATTGTGTTTCAATGATCTAGAAAAAGATTTAATCTTCAACATTATTTATCCCGAAATCGATAGTCAGCATTCTATTCGAACTTATACTCTAAAGAATGAAATTCATTAGCACTTACTTGACTGATTCACTTGTATGGTACACTTTAACTGGCAATCAATATTAAAATATGTAAACGTATAAATGACACTAGTAACTACGTTTATAAAAAGTGATTTCAAAAGTGAAAACTTTCATATTATACGTCAACATTACGTAACAACTTCCTTTGAACTTGACTAATAGCGATTATATAAAAAGAAACTTATATTCAACCTAGAAGTATTATGTTAGAACAAATTAAATATTCTTCACAATATCTTTATTTAGTATTCATACTATGTAATCATATTAGTATACGTTAACATTCAATAATACCGAATATGTTAGATAAATGAATGGAATGGAATGTTCCTGCCAGGATAAATAAAGCGCATTAAAATTCAAACATTGTACTCATTAGTTAGTGAGAATGGTTTTCTATAAAAGTTAAAATGATACTAACTAAACAGTCATTATTAATAAAATCAGATAATACAATATTCTGAACATTGATAATATCTGTGTTACTAAAACAAAACAAATGAATAGAAAGACTCTAGTAGACACTAATTATAAAGAACAAATGGGTGTATAATTATGTAAATATATATATATGATTGTGAATGGATAAATACATTTTTAAACAAAGCAATTACTATTAATAGTGTTGCTACTTATGATGATAATACTACAAAAAGGATCAAAAACTTAAATTAGAAATAAAGTATTCTGTTGTATGTTTCCTTGTGTTAATTTATTTAAATATGGATACAGAATAGTGTGAATAACTAAAAGAAAGGATAAGAAACGAGTTATTAATGACTTTACAGCAATGTACATCCTTAACATCATCAAGGACAGAACCCACAACTTTGATAATTTAAATATCGTTAACTTCAAACAAAGAAGTTGAATTACAGTGGTATATATTTCCAACACCAGTGGGTGTTCATTGTGATATATGGGAAGTAGGGCTTAAAGTGACTTTTAGTTATGTGAATCTATGTAACAAGTCCGACTGATATATTTTTATACAGCTAAAACAACAAACGTTGTTGGATGAAGTGATTGTTTTTCATTGTAAGTTTGTGAAATATTTGGAGGATACTTGATGTAATACATAAATTCATTAAATCTCTCGCCTACAAAATAAATTTAGCTGAAGATATTAAAGGCCCCGTCAGGTGGTGCTGAAGTAGACGTAAGTGGAGCCGAGAAGCTTTGATACTCAGCGCTCTGACGCCTCTTCACTTCTATCAATGCATGTGGATATCGATGAATACTAGTTCGACTGGTAAAATACTAAATTACCGAGGAGGAGGAGGAGGAAGTACATAAACGTTAGACAATTTTCAGCAGCTTGAGCTTCCAGTCACTCAGTAAACAATAGAAATATCAATATTGATGTAATATATCAATCAGTGATAAGGAAATTAAAAGGTACGATCCCAGAGATCAGACTAAAGGCAAAAACTGCTCAGACGCACTTTCAAACGATGATGAAATTGCATGAAAATAGTTCTAAGATTAGATCATCCAGCCCATAGAACACAACACAAACATCCTAGACATGAGCGAAAACATTCCTCATCATCGCAATATACTAGGGTATCCTATTATTCTGATCTGAAACCTATCAGCCTCAGTTAATGAGTTTTTTCATTGGTTTAGTTTATAAACTGTAGTGTTTTACTTACTATTTTAAGCTGATTTATCTATTGAAAGGTGATAGGTTGTTTGTGCTAAGTATTATATTGTAGAATTTTTCAAATGCTCTCCAGCTTTCAAAGTATATATAAACTAAACAAAACTCATAGTGTCATTATAATTCAACTATTGAGGGTCAGAATTCCTGGAAAGTTTATATGATCTAGCTTTTAATTTTTTCAAAGTTCTTTGAAATTTTCAATTTACAAAAGAATCCATGGTAAAATAGTTTTCTCTCTTTCTTATTGGAAATTGAACCATGTTACCAAACTTGATACACTGGGTACAATATACTGTCATTTTCATTTGAAAAACTCCAACAATTAGCCATGACAGAAACTACTTACTATAATTATGAGTGTTATAACAGTTAGCAATTCGCTTATATTATAAATGTATTATCCTATGAAAAACTATGCGTTAAAGGTTTACTAAAATGTTCATATGATTCTTTGTACGTTACCTAGTATTTTAGTTCAGAGCACTTAAAAACAGAAGAAACTTACATATACTTAGAATGTATCTTAACAATAAAATGATATTTTTAAACCTAATTTCGTCGTGCAATATATTTTTTTAGCTCAGTGTTTATTAGGTACTATACTTTCAATTAACAATTGTATTATTTAAAATCAGTTTTCATTACTAACGTGTATCAGATTCAAACCTGGTTACATAATACAAACAGTGAAACAAAGTGAAATCATTGCCATAGAATACATCAACGTCCAACGATCTAGTACCCTTGAAACACTTCAGTGAGGAATCATAACAAAACGCCTTGGAAGAATGAATTAATCCAATAGTTTTAACTGATGTTGAGGGTTTTACTCATTCAAACTAAATCTTAAGAAGTAAAAAGGCTTTCAGCGTAACGAAAGTTACATAGTTAAATATTAGAAACGCATTAAGCCTTTCAAATGCAACATTAGTCACAGTATAAGATAACCCTTTTATCTGTAACATGATGAAAAATAAATTATAACCCTTTTTATAACTGATACACTAACAAATTCAATTTACTTGAGCTTACTTGTAATTGTACTTAGGAAAAACTTTCTCTAAATTTAATTCATTTGTCAAGTCTTCCTAAAGAGGCTAACGATCAATATTCGTTTTCATAAAATATTGAATACGAAAATATATTCTTTACAAAATGCTAAAAATTTCTAAAATATATCATATAAATTAGACAGTTAACTTGTAGTATCAGTTTCTATGTTTAACATACATAAATTATTCTGCCTTCCGGACAGGCTGATCTGCTCACTCTTCTTGAGTCACATTTTAAACTTGTTAATTATTCACCTATCAACCCTGACTGTTCCTATATGAGCGTGTGTGTGTATACATTATATCCCACTCATCTCATGTCTGTAGCTTATTTTTGTTTGACTAAAATAATTGATTAACGCTTGATTAAATGAAGTTCGCTCACATCCCTTCTTCATGGCGCATCATTTTGTTTCGCTTCATTCCTTTGGTCGTCTGTCTGATTCAATGACTGTACAAAATATACATATTCGAAATTCATCCTCATATTTGACTAATTTTAATTCCATTATTCATATAACGCGATTTAGGTGGTAATTTATTCGATGTACATTTTGACAATGATCATTCATAATTGAAAGCGTGAGTCAATTGTAGCTAGACCACCAAGGAAAACCTGGAAGCACTGGATGGCCGTTTCGTCACATTGTGGGACTCCTCAGCTGTGCGCATCCACGACCTCTCCTCGCGAAATTCGAACCCAGGACCTATCAGTCTTGCGCCGTAGCACATAACCGATAGACCACTGAATCAGCGTCCGATGGTGTTTATGTTAAACTCCAACCAAGATTTCAACTATGAAAAATACTAAGTCTCCACAAAACCCCTTCTGATAACAATGATCATTCATACAATCTAATTGGAGTCAGATATAGGACCATTAAAACCATGCAATATATCTGATTCTGTAATATAATGAGATATTTTATGTGATAACATTAGAGATTTCATCAGAATAACAGCCTTACTTGATTACATAATACTTGTAAGCGTTTAATTAAAATGATGTTTTTATTTTTATTTGAGAATATCTAATTACCTAATTTATAATTATGAAGTATAAGAATCATTTTAATGATAAATTAAAGATATTTTAAACATCCTTATTTATTTTAACAATAAAGAAAGGAATACAAACAAACAATGGTTAATAGTTGAAAGCGTGAGTCAATTGAAGCTAGACCACCAAAGAAAACAATGATTAAACTCAATTTATATTTTAATTATATAAATTATTTAAAAAATGAGTTCTTTTAGATACTTCATTCAATAAATGACAAATTATAATTAACTTCATCATCTCAATTATGATTCAACAATATTCACATCCATGTACTTTGATCAATAAAATTTGGATGAAGTATACTACCAGTTTTTATTCTTGGTGTTAAACATTTCATTACTGTTGTATCCCGTGGAGAATTGTGAATGGTAACTTTGAGGACTATTTATGGACCAATATGATATGTATATTTCCTATTGTATAATTGTTAAGTAACTAAAGTATCCATATTTTTTATCCCTCTTATTATAAGCTTTATTTTGACCTATGAACTATTATTATGCGATTTACCATTCTTGAGTTATCCCTGTTCTATTAATTAATGTTCCCCTATTCACAGCCACATTTGGCCAAAAACTTGTACAAATGTTATTTCTTATTTTATGGTACGATGTGGTCTGTTTGATTGGTGTATAAACCCAGTATGTTTGTGAATAATGATTCATATTGTAGAGGCTGTTACTGGTGTTTAGGACTTAACTGGCTGGGTTAAGCTGATAGCAGGACCGATTAGTGCTCAAGACTGCTCATACAGCTTTTGTGTATAATTGGGCGAGAAATAAAATCACTGCTCTCCAATTGGTGGTCTTATCACGTTCATATATTAACAGGGCGCACGCACGCACACATTCGATATAACAATTACCATTGTACGTCATCAATTATCTACATCTTACTAGTGTTCTGATGTAATTTAATTACAAAATAGTAACATGTGGGTTTGTTTATTTTTCAATTATTTGGTAAAAAATGAACGTTTTGAAGAATTTGATTAAAGATTGGTTTAATCAATGGAATGTAGTCATCACAGATTATTTCCAATTAGAGTACCGTTGAAAACCAGGGTGTACTAACCAGCTATTTTATCTTACTATAAAACTCTTTAGGAGTGGTCACTTAAGACCTTAACAGTATTTGGATCAAGCACTTCTAAGTCTAATGGTGAATACCTGACTATAGAAAATTGGTTAGAGTTGAAATTATTCCATTGTTTGGTTACTTACCATAAGATCTGAATGTTCCGTGTTCTATTTCTAATGGGATTGTAGATGTGTGCTTCTGAAGACTTCTCTTCTCCGATAGAGTAGTCGTTCACTGACCTCTCATTTTCAACGATACTTCAGTTGAGATTAGACTGTGACAAAAGCGATCTACAAAAACACATTTGCTAAAATTGTTGCTAAGATTGTTTACTGAAAGTTATATCTGAGAGCGTTCTGTCGTATCAGGATTTAAACAGTTTATGTTAATGATCTTTAGTGACTATTATGCTTTATCTTGAGTTGACGGGATTTAGAAATGTGAACCAGGAAAATTCAACCTATAAGACAAAATGTTAATTACTTGCTGTGAAACCTGAAAGTTTACAGCTCAATTTCTTCCCTTCCGTCAAAAAGTTCCATATTAGAACAAAATACCCATCTAGTTACCTTCGCTTTTCAACGGTTCACAAATAATATGAACATGTGATAATGAATACTTGTAACTTTGTAAATATAGTTGTTTCTCTTTGGTTACGTGAGTGTAAACAAAGAAGAACGCCTGTTACACTCCATAAAATTAGGTACAAAATGTGACATACATATTTCAAACTAAACATTGATCTTACATTGTTATATTTTTATCATTTTCATTCGTATTCACGGTAGTTTTATTATTCAAAGTTTCATTCCAATAAATTGAATTTTGATAAATTAGAAAATGTTCAAATATTGTAACATTGAATAACGTTGTACTATAGTATGAAGGTGGATTATTGTCTTCCGTAGAATTTAAATTGAAACTCCAATATATGTTTATAAAATTGGATACATTAAAAGATATTGATGTTTGAAATGCATTCATTCCCAACATTTTAAGATTTGGTTGATTGGTAACATAATTAATCACTATTAGTGAAAAGATGAGAAAATAAAAAAAAGTAGGATTATTGAAGTAAAGTAATTAAAAGTCAAATATAAGGGACGTTTAAAGCTTGAATGTATTTTTTAGTAGAATTCTTTCAATGTATTGATATTCTCCATTTGAACTGTGAACAATGTAAATTGAATCTTGTTCTTTCTTTCAAAGATTTAAATTATGGTTAGAATTAACTAGATTTTTGGTGAGAATTTTGTTTTATAAAAATAATACTAGTAACAGTAATACATCTCTATAATGTTAGCTTGTGAGACAAGTATTATACAGTGAACATTTTCATGGAGTGGGGTGACCACAGGTTGAAGACAGGAATTAAGGACCTAGGTTTCATCGTGTTTGAAAATTTTTTAGTTAAATGTATCTGTAGTCTTGACAGAACTGAAGGTCTCGAGTGGATATTATGAGACGTAACAAGGCTCAAGAGTTCGAGACATGAATGATTTTCCTTTGCAGTACTGAAATTGTTTACAAACAATTTATTGCTGAGTATTGGTTAATGTTATGTTTTTCCAGTCCTTCAGTGATGACAGAATTGTTTCGATCGGGGTTCAATGAGGTCACTAGCCTTTGACATCGTGTAATCCATTTAATCCCATTTGAACTAGTGGTCACTGTAAATCTTGGTCAACAGAATTCTATCAGTATTAAAGGACTAGACAGAAATGAAATCGGTCACTATAGAGTGATCAACAAATTAGAAACTTTCATGTAGTCTTAAATCAAACTGATTTTTTATTTATCGACCATATGTTTTTCCTTTTATTTTTCTCAGGTCTCTAGTCATAGACAATAACAGGTAATCAACATATCATGAGTATTATTATCAACGCATAAATGCAACTACAACAAATATTCGAAACTTGTGCTATTACGGTCATCCTAGTTGCAGGTCTCCTATTCATGGATTACGAAGGATACACTAACTTAACAATGAATAGGGATCATTCTCAGATACTTGAGCTTTCACTGCTTAATGGATTCTGAGGATGGTATTTACATGTATCCAATAGGCTCAAAATGACAGTGGACTAAGACTTCACATTATATATAGTTTAGTCAGTTATCATAAAGCTTCACATTCATTTATTGTTTTCGTCTTCAGTTGCGAGGAAGGATTTTCTCTCTGGATCCTAAAAATTCCAATTAATATATCTAGTTGTATTGTTCATTACCTTTTTTTGGTATAACTGATCAAATAACTAGTAAAAATACACATTAGACGCTACAGAAACAAATTAGTGTTCATTGACACAAAACATATAAAAATGCGCACTTATAAATTACTCCTTAAGTTGTCATAGTTTCAAGCTTCTTTAAAATTTTCAAAAGAGGTTGCATGTATCTGCAGAATTTGTATAAACCTTAAGGAAAATGGTATTCATAGAGAAGGGAGACAGTGAAAAGTTGAAATAGAAGACGCTCACATTATTTAGCGTGACCAGCAAAAAAGAAACCTCCAAAAAGTTGTACAATAACTTAGTCAAGCATTGAAAAAAAGGAATAAATTTTTTAATGTTGTAAAACGTATTCCATTTGTTCTTTGTCTCTTTGTCTCTATTACCAATCAAAAAAACTTTTCTAAATGTCTAATGAAGAGTCTACTTTCAACCAATACTGTAATTTTTCTGTTGCCACAGTCATTTATTTATAGTATTACAGGTTTTATATTGAATAATCAGTGAGACTATAATTTAAAGACAACTTTTGAGCAACGCCAAAATGACTTAGGAATATCCTTACTAGGAATATACTTACTAGGGTTAAATAAGAGTTATGTACTAGCATGAGGAATTGGGACTTGTAGATGAACGTTAGGGATAGGAATTAAATTTAATGTTTTCATCAAGAACTAATATTAGCTATAATGCCGAAATGGTATTTGCCCAAATGAGCGAATAAATTTCATACCAAAATCCAAGATCTGCTATCTTAATTCTGATTGGTTCATCTATAAATTAGAGTCTTCCTGAATAATCTACTATACAGATCTATATAAGATTTTGCACACTTCAGTTTTTGAATATAATCTATCATCGGTAATAAGAATTTTATTACGACAACATATCTAAATTACAGCTTTACTGAAATACATGGATTGTATTGTAATTTAGAAATAAAAGGAAAATTGAGAATGATTATAATCTAGTTTTTTGTTATTAATTCATGTTTTATGCTGTACTGCATTTATTAATTACTAATCAATCTATCTATTCATTATTAATTATCTATCAACTTTATTATTTTGGTTTGCTCATAGAAAGTATTCTCTAAACCTTTTATCATATAACGAATGATTTCAGTTAATTATTAGGATTAGATTGTAGAAAAAGTACACGTTGTTTCAATCCTTAGCAACTTTTTGAAATGTAATATCGTTCGATAATAATGCGAACTGTGGGTGTGTTCGTTGTTTAAGATCATTTAGGTTAAACAATTAAAAAATGTTAAACTCAGTGTTTTATTTTAGCTATATATCATCTCCTCCTCTATTAAAATTATATTGATTTCTCTATTTGGAAAAATCTTTTCATTATGCTTTGTAAAATGTACTAATTATATTTTTATAAAATTAAAAAAACAGTTTCATTTTATGTTATCAAGAGAAATTATTAACAACGGGCTTCAAACGGAAACTTGAATGAGTAGTTACATAAGCTTTTAAACAGTAAGTTATGTAATTCCAAAGGAAGTGTGGTTATTAATCCTGTGCGTTAACTGTTGCGTTTAAACAGAAATTAAGCAATATATCTATCCTAATTAACACAGAGTCTAGCATAGATATTGATTTGGTCACGTTACCATATCGCTTTATCATAAGAAGATGAAGTCAACAAAATGAATAAGGTAGTTGAATTAATTTGTTAACAGTAATAATAAATGAGCAAAGGACTGAGAATATGGTTTGAAAAATCAAAAGAAAAATATATGGAGTAATACTTTGTCTAAACGTCTAGAGGAACTTAAAGAGCGAATTATTGGTAACTAATTTTATATGAGGGAATTTGTGAAGATCGTTTAATTTTACAGTTAAAACATAGTTTGATCTTAGTTAACAAACCAACAAAAACAAGGAATCACTAGACAACCGTCTCATCACAGCATAAGACTCGTCAGAACTGTGCACTTATGATCCTGATACTTGGTTCGAGTACCAGAATGCACATCGATTCTGCAATGCAGGTACACCTAGCTGACGAGTTCCAAAATAGGACTAAATTTCTCGCTTATTCACCGTCCATCTCTGCTTACAATGAAACAGAAAATTATTATGAAAAGAAAGGAGAAATTATGTATGGTTGGACGTAGTTAGGATTGATGCGTGTTTGTATGTTGGAAAAACATTTTATGGAGTAAAAATGGTTTTATAGTTAATAATAATACGGTAGGAAGAATGAATTAAATAAAATAAGTAAAAGCAATATGTGATTACATAATAAATGGAAGTAAGTACAAGCCAAATCAAGTGAACACTTTGTAGTGAACGAGATCACGAGCGGGGACAATCGAATGTATTTGAGCACAAAATTACGGAATATCTCACTAAAATCTGACAACCATACAGTAAACAGTTAATTTGCAAACTATCAATCGATTGTCTTAATCTTGACTGTTCGTTCCTCGAATATCCATCCATCGTTTCTGATTTCATTGTTCATGCATTTTCATATCAATCGCGTTCCGTTCCCGTTCTTTCGTTAGCTAACTTCTACTCAAATACATTCAACGCCCATCCATCATTATATACTACTTATGTGAATATAAATATCCACATTATATCCACCATCTATCAAGATTCCATTTCTAAAGAATTTACAGACTTTTCACACACAAGTTTCCGGAAGTGCGTTCAGATAACCTGCTAGGAACTCTTTACCCTGTCCTCCTCATACACCTTCCACTGCAGTCACATTTAAATTTATAAGTGAAACTGAAAGCGAGCTATTTATGAGCAACATATTGAACATTTATTGTTGTATATTGAAATTAATTGAGCCATGGAGAAGATTATTATTATGATTTTCCCATCATATCCTTCTGAAATATCATATTCATTAAGGGAAATATGAATGAAAGTGTTTTTTATAAATTGTTTGTTTCCTATAGTCTTTTCCATTTCTTGAGATATTATTCCTTGAGTACCTATTTTCATGAGATTCTTCTCGATAATTCCTATTACGATATCCACCAAATCATTTAAACATAACTTTAGAGGTCGATAAACGTGCGTTTCGGTTAGACACCGTTTATTACTGGCAGAATAAAAGTTGACAAGCAACAACTGATGGACTATTAAGAATCAAATAACATATAAAATTTATTACATTTTGTTTTTAGTCTCTCTACATACGTACGGATCCAAAATTATTTCACTTATTAGTTTGAACATATCAATCTTACTTTACTCTTCAAGATTGTAAATCAGAATCGATTTCATAATGATTTCATAAACAAAGAATGATGAAAATTTCGAAGATAAATTGAAGTGACTATTTATTATCTTCTACTTTTCAAAAGTTTTCCAGTTCATATTAATTAGCTATAAAAATGAACTTAAAAATATTTGTATAATCCATTTAGCATTGTTTGTTTTGAATCTTTCCATTGATGTTTAGGACTGCAACTGGTCAGTCTCTAATTGACATATGTGCATACTATGCGTATTGACTCGATATAGCCTTAATTCACAAGCATTGTAAGCAAGGATGGACTGATCAGTTGCAGTCGTAAACATCAATGGGAAGATTCAAACAAGCAATACTAAGTGAATTTAAACTTCACCCCATTGCACAAGCAAGTGGCTATCAGGAATCAGTTGGCCGAGTGGATAACGCAATGGCGTCTGAAGCGAAAGGTACTGTGTTCGAGTCCAAGAGTGAACAGAAATTCTGAGATGCAGGTACATCCAGTTGACGAGTCCCAAATAGGACGAAACGCGCTTCCTGGATTCCACTGCTAGCCACTATCCATATCTGTACAATCGTTTTCTATCAGTGATTGAAATATTTCACTTAACCATTACTAGATTATTTGTTTTTTCTACCATTTTATTTATATATTACTTAATTTGGCTAAATGTACTTACATACTAAATCTATTGTTTACCTACAAAAAAGTTTTTTTTTCACGTAAAGATAGTTTCTTTTCTGTTTGGTACATTAATTTTATTAGTTTACGATAATCAATCAAAGATAAAGTTCACTTTGAAATCAACTCATCATTTATTTCTTCTTGAAGAATAGTCTTAAATCCATAAACATATTTAAAAAAAAAAATTAATTGTAAGTTCTTTGAGTCGACTTTTTCGAATGTTTAAATATAATAGTTTAAAATGTGTTCTGTAGACAAGACTGATGCTTTAATTATTAAAGTGAAAATTCCCATTTTGACATTTGTTAATTAAAAAAGGAACGAATCGAGCGAAGAAATTTCTTTTCAATTTGTTTTTCATCATGGCTCTACACTAATATATATATGATTTACAATAATTAAATAACACTCATGGAGTAGATACGTTACGTAATGATTATATAATGACATCGATTATAAACTAACATTAATTGGAAGAGAAGGATTAATACTAATCAAAGTTATTATTCGAAAATCAAGCTGTTGCTACGTTGCATAATATATAGAAAAGAGAAGTACGAACTAAAAAAATTTGATGAATGGTCAGTAATATAGTAATTATGTAAGAATCAAGAGACGAATGAAGAGAATAAGTAAAATACAAAATACAAAAAATGGAAGGAATAAGATAATTGTTTACCGAAATTATGCTACAAACTCCGCTATACCGATGGCCAAGGTAGCGAGAGTGGTTGTACAAACTTCTTTTGGATACATAGGTTCGGTTTGTGGATATGAATTGCGATGGCTTCAGCTATGTGCAATAGACGAGCTCGTAAACCATGTGGCAAATTTGATGGAATATGGTAGATAACCTTAAAAGCTTTATTCAGTTCAACCTGATGACCTGTGTCCACCAAGTGAGCGAGAATAGAACACTTAATCCCCTTTATCTGTCCTTTAGTCAACCATGACGGATGGTGTTCTGTTATTCGTTGACGAACTTGCCTAATTGTACGCCCTATATAACTGGCTCCACAGGAGCAGTTGAATTGGTAAATACACATAGATGTGGCGAATTCAGGCAATCTGTCTTTATTAACAGTTCTTATTGTGGGACGGTTGTAGAAGACGGTACTAAGTCGGGCTGCATTAAATGTTTTCTGTACTGCCCTTCTTAACCTCTGTGTCAAGATTTCTTCAGTAGCATCATTTAAGAATTGTAACTTTAGGAACAGTACCTTCTTCGGAACAGTAGGTAACTTTGTCCTTCTTTTCGTCTCCGTCATGTGTTTGTCGATGAATTTCATTGGATACAAATTCTTACTAAGCAAGTTTCGAATATTAGCCAATTCATCTAAAATAATGTCGTCAGAGCAAATCATTCTAGCACGATGAGTAAGGATCTTTATTAGGTTTCTTTTGTATTTCATTGGTACTGCGCTATAGAAATGAGTGTACTGTCCAACTGTAGATTTTCTATGTAATCCTCTTTTTAATGTTCCGTCTATTCTTCTGGTTAGTTGGACATCTAAAAACGATATACTACCATTCTGTTCTTCTTCTAGTGTAAACGTAATTGATGGGTGGATATTATTAAATATATTAAGGATGTTCTCCTTTTCATGTTCTTTAATTATTGTTTTTAAAGAAATTACCGTCCAGAATAATAGTAGGTATAAAGACATTATTTAGAGGGAACACTTATTATTAGTAGTATAAATTGTAAATATTCGTACTGAAAATCATACATTGTTATATATTCACTTTAGTTTTTACATTTAATATATTATTCTATTTGTGTTTATATTATCTGTCAATTCCATACAAGTTATATATATAATATAAACGATAGACAGTGTATGGAGTCATTAATCAGCATTAAACAGTATAAGAATATCTAGTTCAGAAAATATATACTATATATATGTAATCACTACAACAACCACAATAATTAATCATTAATCTTATGTCCTATTATATGATTACCAGTTTGTAATTTGATCAAATCACGTTTGTCCCAGTGATTAGGGTTATAGGATGTTGGTAAAACATAAATTAGTATGAATAAATAAAAAAAAAGATCATTACATTGATCATTCACTTGGTACTAATCAATATTTCATTGTTTTGTTATTGGTTTTGATCGAATTCGGTCATTAAAGTTGTAATATAAATACTAGTCAAAGTGATTTGGTATTTCGATGAAATTTTGTTTGAACTTAAATAATTGGTATTACATAATACGTTAAATTACTTAGTATTTGGTAAGAAATAACAATTGTCGACTGCAAAATAACGTGAAGTTTTAATCTAATGGTTCAATCCAAACTTGAAAAGGAGATTGTAACATATATTATAACTTCAACTAAATATAGACGAATAGTCCTTTTATATTTCATACCCATCAATATATATATATATATATATATATATATATATATGTTATGTCCCGATAACAATAGTGAATGGTAACTTTGGGATCCATTTATGGACCACTATTATGCACATATTTTTTATCATATTATCGCTAAATAACTAAACTAGTCATATTCATGTTTCCCTTATTATAAGCTTTATTTTGATTTATAGACTATTATTATACGATTTACCATTCTTGAGTTATCCCTAGTCCATTAGTTACTATTCCCCTTATTCACAGCCACATTTGGTTAAATCTTGTACCAATGTTATTTTCTGTTTTATTGGTTTGATGTGGACAGTTTGTTTGGTATATAAACTCAGTATGTTTGAAATACAAGTATTCAAACCGCAGAGGCTGTTATGGACTTAACTGGCTGGGCTATGTAGAAGCAGGACCGATATGTACTCTTGACTGCTAGTATGGTTTTCGTGTGTCACTGTTCCAATCGATAACTCGCTGCTCTCTGATTGGCGGTCTTATCACGTCATACGTTAACAAGGCATCCACTGGGTCATAAGTTATAACAACATATAAATAATTTAGCAAATTTTACTTACAACTGAATTGGAATGGAAAATAATCAGCTTGATTAATCGCTTGCATTACGAAAAGTGAATTGTGATATTTTCGAAAACTAATATTTAAATTTATGGAAGGATTATAAAGCTGTATTCTTGCATTTGTATCGTTTCCTTTAACATCTAGACTTCCATTCGCTCTGATCATTCTTTGTTGATTGAAGTAGCCTACAGCTTGTATTAAACCGTCTTCAGTGATGTCAACTACAAAATAGCATAAAAAATGGTAAGAATTACAAAATTAGAATTTTGTGAAATAGTAAAACACGTTTTTCCTAAAATAAAGTTTATAAATTAACTGAATTACGCAAATTGATATTACATGAAGCTATATTCGATGAAAGCCAATACAACTCTAAATTAGTGAAAACAGTTACCATAATGCCAAATGAACTTAAATGTGTTTGATTGTTTTTCTTCTGCTTCATATATATATATATATATATATATATATGACTAATAAGCCTACTGCGTTGTTTGCAACAATATGGTTTCGAATCTTGAGAGGCGGGATCGTGGATGCACACTGTTGAAGAATCCTACAAGAGGACGAAACGGCCGTTCAGTGCTTTCACGTTTTCCATGGTTGTCTAGATTCAACTGACTCATGATTTCAACTATATATAAAAATATGGAATGTGTCACTTCATTTTCGCAAATGTGAGGTACTTCAAGTTATTTGTTATTCAATTCCTAATTAATGAGCAGTTTATAAGCATAACTTTGTAAGTTTACTAATCGTTAGAAATTATATCATTTGTATAGAGGTTTAAAAGAGTTCTTATTTACTTTCATGATAGAGACGTCATGATTTCCATCATGGCTTTATTTAAAACTTCCTAGCGAAATAAAGAAATCAGAAATTTCGGTTTATTATCATTATCTTTTTAGAAATATATTATGGTATGTGCTACTGATGTTGACGAATATAAATAATATATGTATCATCAATCGATAGCGAAATACCTGGAAGCGGAAGATTAAGAAAATCAAATAAAAAAGAACGAGAACAAAAAACAATTGGTATGGAAACAAAAGAATAATGAAGTCTGAGACAATTGATTGATATATTACGAATGAAGTATTTAGTATATGCTTGTCAGATTTTCTTAAAATTTCCTGCATTTTTGTGTCCAAATAAATTTGATTTCCCTCACTTGTGTTCTCGTTCATTACAATATTTCTTTGAAGAATATAAAAGGAATAAACTGGTATGTTAGTTGGCTTTTTATAAGAATTTCATTCCGAATAATAAAACAGTTTGAAAAAGAGAAAGCATATGTAAATTGAAAAACAAAGGTATAAACACTCAGAAATATTCATGTAGAAGTGAAAAATAACCACAGGAGATCTAAAATAATGTTCAACATTATAATAGAATGTATTAAGACACATACGATATATCGAATAATGTTATTTTTAAAATTTGGAATGAATTCCAAAATCAGAAAGGTGATATATATATCAACATATATCGTCTTGAAAGTTAACATTGCAAGACATGGATGTGAAATCCTGTTTGTGAATATACAGTAACGACTAGATATTTTTTTCTGACATTACCACATTTTGATGGTGTTTAGTAAAAGTTCAGCAAAAAAAGAAAGGATTGATCTTAATTATAGCTACATTCATTTTGTGAAAAAAAATTGCATCAAATATTCCATTCATGGTATTCTACATCTAATCTCTACTTGGGAACTTGTTTTTCCACACATAAAAAATTGTGTTTACAATCAAATATTTGAATTTTCTTGTTGATAAATGAAATATAAATACCCCCCCCCAAAATGTTGATCAAATGTCCACACCGATATGAATTATGATTTTAAAAAATAGAAAGTAAACAAAACTCCAAAATTATCTACGTTTAAATAAACATTGATCAAATAAACTGATAGGATGGGATAAAAAATGGCAGAACTACATTCCATACCTTATAGTGTTTTTTGTTCATTATTATTTCCGAAGGCGTTTGGTGGAGATTTTTAGTAATTTTATAAAGTTGAGATCACTAGTCAATTGTAGCTAGACCACTACGGAACACCAGGAAGCACTGGACGGCCGTTTCGTTCTATTGTGGGACTCCTCAGCAGTGCGCATCCACGATCCCGCACTCGCGATCGATTTTAATGTTTATTGATTGCTAATTGTTCTGAGTGCTACGCTTCTAAACATTCCCTGGTGCTTTTAGTAATGCCTCTATCCAAGATCTCAACATTTTACCAGTTGAATGTATGTTCACAGTTGTCCGAATAAATTGATATAAGTGAGGATATGTCATGGTGTTTGACTGTTAATTGATGTTTGTGCAGGTGAAGATGAAAAGGGATACCACTTTGACTGGTATAGTGTTTCTCGCACCACCACCATCATGTTGATCGAGTATTTTATGATCTATCTTGGATGACATCTATGCATGGTAACACTTTAATACTAAAATAATTAATGGACCATTAATTGTTCAGTCATTTTCAATCAAAAATCATTTATCAAAAATAATAGCTGATAACAAATGTAGTAAGTGGTAAATTTATATAAACAAAATTATGTAAACTCACTAATTAGATGATAAGAATCTTTCTGAAATACTGAAAGCTTTAAATCAACATGTCGTAAACTATCATTCTGATTATTTATTTTAAGATTGAATTGTAAGTTATTGTTTTTTGTTTCATAATTCTGTTGCATTGATACATTAGTTCGATGAATCAAGAAGCTTATACGGTTGATCTTATTGTTATTTTCTTCTTCATCCATAGATAAATAATTAAATTTTAGAAAAAATCCTTTTACTTCATTTATATTGATTTGATATACTTGAATTAATGAGTAGATGTTTTCTGAATGACATAACTTTTCAATAATTAAATGAAACCAATTAAAAGGTTTAAACGTTGTAATTATCCAATGATTTAATTTTGATAATTGAAAATCCAAATATGGTTTACCATTTTTCATGAAAAAATCATTTTTTCTACAAAATTTGTTTTAATGTTGAAAAATGGTATATTTAATATAGTAATTGATTAAATATAGAAAAAGGGCTCTCTTTATCAATGTCTAATTTATATGTATGTATTTATTTATTTATTTAAATACATAAATATTGGTACAAGGAAGCATCAGATACGTATGCGCCACACAAATGGAATGAGATTTGTGTGAGTACTGTTATACCGCCCAGGTGCCCAAACTGAAGCAGGTGGTTTTCACAAGGCACCACACCCGGTCTGATCCACAAGGCAGTGGAGCATCGTGAGGAGGTGCAGTCCCATGATAGCTGGTAACCAATGAATGATTCATACGCCATTTGTTCCCTCAGGATACTGGAGCCCATGTGCATTAGTGGTTTGGAATTAAGGTTTTCCATCTCCCCCAGATGGACTTTCCGTTTCCACCAACCTGGTTAAAACGCCGGACACTCGCTTTTCGTCCTCTCAATTTCTTAAACAACAGTAATGTCACGAGAAGGCAGTGAGTAGGACTTCCATGGAAGAGACTATATACGCGTGGCCATGTGAGAGCATTTCGGGAGGGAGAGCGTACTCTCCTCGGCCGTACCAGGACATTCTAGCTTAATTCATATGGAATTACCTGCGTACTTTTAGAAAATATATATCTTAATGTTGGAGTGTAATTTACATGTTATGTGTTTCCTATTTCATTAAACAGAAACTATAGTAAACAGAGAATTCATAGAAAGTGCAATGTTAAGAAAGTGGATGGTTGGTAATATGAAACATCTCGGAAGCACCTCAATCACTAAATATCCACAAGGATAATTACTGGTTTGATATATGGTAATTGACAAAATCCATATCATACAATCTGGATAATCACTTTTCTGTCGAAACAGTATTAAATTATTTAGTTATAAACTTACGTGTATTTAAATAATTCATAATTATAACTCCATGGATCAAATAATATTTCCAGTAACAAATTATTAGAATCCGTAGCAAGTTTCAAACTATTATTTACATGAAAATTGCAATCAATTTTTCGATCTGACTGAAAACCAAAAATTTCATGGGATCCACTCACAAGTTGTACTTTTTGAGAAGTGTAAAATTTTGATCTAATAATATGTCAAATATATGTAAATCAAATAAATAAATGTTATTCATATAAACTATTGTATAACTGTAAGCAAAAATAGATAGTGGCTAACAGTGGAATCCAGGACGCGCGTTTCGTCCTATTTGGGACTCGTCAACTGGATGTACCTGCATCTCAGAGTTGATGTCCACTCTGGGACTCGAACACAGTACCTTTCGCTTCAGACGCCATCGCGTTATCCACTCAGCAACTGATTCCTGATAGCCACTTGCTTGTGCAATGAGGTTAAGTTTGAATTCACTTGGTAATGTTTGCTTGAATCTTCCCATTGATGCTTAGGACTGCAACTTGTCAGTCTCTTATTGAAATATGTGCATACTTCCTGTATTGTATAATTGAAGTGGATTTCTTAAGTAAATTTTTCTTCCAATTTTAACCAGTAATTTGTAAAATAAATAAATTTGCCTTCATAACAACTAGTTTATCAAATGATCCTTTTGAAAAGGAATGATATTATAATTTGACTTTTTTTAATGAGTAACGGTGTTGATTCAGAATAAAGCTGGTAATACTAAAATCCATACAAGCCTATATTAGTCGGTTTTGTATTGATTGTTCGAAACTTCTCATTGAAGTTTAGGAATGTAACTGATCAATTCCTTATTGGAATATGTGCATCCTGTACGTATTGTTTCGGTATTGCCTTACGTCACAAGTATTATAACCATAGATGGATGATTGTGACGTAATGCAATATTGAGGCAATCCGCACAGGATGCAGACATGTAAATAAGAGACTGACCAGTTACATTCCTAAACGTCAATGACAATTTTGAAAAAAAACACAATACAAAGTGAATTAAACTTCACACCGATGCACGAATTAGTGGCTGTCTAGACTCAGTAAGTAAGTGGATAATGCGATGCCATTTGAAATAAACAGTACTAAGTTGGAGTGCCGTAGTGAACATCAAGAATTGTATCCAAGTATACCCATCTGACGAGTCCCAAAATAAGAAGAAACGTGCGCCCTCGATTCCATAGCTAGTTGCCATCCATCTATGCTTAAACCTGTATCAAGCATCACGAATCATATTTCAGAGGAATGTATGTAACAGACTGATATATATTATATAAATCGAATGATTTATAAACAAAAATGTTTCAAAAAAATAATAATAACAAATAATAATAATAAATTTCAAAAAAATAATGATAAAATCCATCTCATAATCATGTTTTAACAAATTAACTTCCAAATGTAACAAATTTTAGGAAATTATCAGTGTTTTTTCTCCGTTAACTCTCTTTCCTAGAATACATAGTGTGTTAAATCTATTAACTTATTTGTCATTTATTATAAGATGGTGGTTGGAGGTGTTGAGCAGGAAACACTGAACCCGGGTTTCGTACTATTTGGCACTCGTCAGCAAGGTGTACCTGTAATCTTGAGGGAACTGATACTCCCTGATAGACTTGATCCGTGAGCACCAGTGACAGGTAGCACGAAACCCGGGTCCAGGGTTTCCTGTTCAACACCTCCAACCACCATTTTATCTCAACATAGTGCACGCAATGTCGAGCCACCTAGACTAGTGGCCACATTGCAACTTGATCGATAGCATTTGATCAGTACTAAGAAGGACTTGACACGTATGACATTGATCACTACCCAGTGATCAATCAATTGTGATTTATTATGTTTACATGATGAATATCAATATGTTCAGTCATTCATTATGTTAATCTTTGTTTTGTTTTTCTTTATCATTTTACTATGATATTTTCAATGTTTGTCCAAATGCATCCAGTTAGTTGTTTGTTTTCTCTATTTTATTTAGTAATTATACATGGTATATACATATAACCAAGTATATTTTATCATTTTATAAATTCATTATTAAGCATAGAATATTTATAGTATGAATTGAAATGAAACAGGATATAAATGTATATGTACACTATAGGTCTGATGAAGTAATTTGATTAAAAATGAAATGGATAATTATAAAGTATTTAAGCCCTTAGAATATGGCAAACATTTTAATTGGTTAAAATTGAATGCTAACGCATTGCTAACATATATATATATCATTATTCTCTTGTGTGTTGAACATTTTACAATAACCATGTGGTAACAAATACTATAAGCGATAGTAATTAGTACTTCACAATTAAATTTAATATTCTGTATGATAACATTTCAGCTACAGTTTTTGTCTTTTTTTCATTTTCACTTATTAAATTTTGTCTTTAATGAATTTTAATAGTTGAGATCATGAATCAATTGAAGCTGGACCACCATGGAACACCAGGAAGCACTGGACAGCCGTTTCGTCATATTATGAAATGCATCAGCAGTGAACATACACGACCCCTCCTAGCGAAATTCAAACCCAGGACCTATCAGTCTCGCTCATGGGCGGTTAAACTCTAAACCACTGAGCCAACCGGCATCCAGCAGTATTGATATCTAAGTTCAACCAATTCACGAAATCGAGCGACACATCCACCATTGTCTTAAGTAAGCTACTATCTCACAACAGAATCGGCTGAACTCTACTGGTCACTGCTTCTCACTAGAACTCTAGGAAATACCTCTTGGAGCCCGATTGAGCGCTCACGTGCGAAACTGATAGGTCCTAGGTTTGAATCTCGTGAAGCGGGATCGTGTATGCGCACTGCTAAGGAGTCACCAAATGACACGAAACGGTCTTCCAGTGTTTCCATGGTGGTCTAGCTTCAATGGAGTCATGATTTCAACTATTAAAATAACTATAATATGGACGAAAATTCCTTCTGATTGTAATGAATTTGTTGATATGCTTGATGCAATTAGATGAATGACAGTTAATATTGATAATTATATTTTATTTCAAAAAAATAATATTTTGTCTATCTTTAATTACATGTATTTTATAGAATTATAAAAGAAAAACCCTAATTAAGTACATCAACTACGTATTAAAAGGATTTTATATTCAATTAAGAATACATGAAGATTTTTAAATTATAGAATGAATTATTCACTGTATGGTTATTAGATTGTACTAAGAAATTCTGTAACATTGTATCCAAATACATTCGACTGTCCTCACTTATATGCTCTTATTGAATACAATATTACTGTGAGAAAAGCTAACAACAACTTCCCCTCTGTGAGTTTATTTAACTTAGTTGCTTAGTTATCACTCTTTGTAAGAAATTTTAACAGTTAATTGCTTAATATTAAATACATTTTTGTAGTAACAATATTTTAGTAATCACTGAATGAAATAATATCGAATAACATTGAAATACAGTCACGTGATAATCATTTATCCTGTATTCAAAACATATTAATTCTAAGGTGAAAGCCTATTATCTAACAAAATAATGGTGTTTCCAGGTTCATATGGTAGTCTAGCTTTATTCGACTCATGAATTCAATTATTAAATTACTGCGATCTCCACAAAACTTTCGTTCTGATAATATTATTAAGTGCTCTGGCGCGAGACTGTTCGGTCATGGGTTCGAATCTCGTGAAGCGAGGTCGTGGATGCGCACTGCTGAGGAGTCCCATAATAAGTTGAAATGGCATCCAGTGCTTCCAGATTTTCCTTGGTGGTCTAGCTTCAATTGACTCACGCTTTCAAAGATGAAAATACTGAAATCTTCACAAAAACCCCTTCTGATAATATTATTAGTTTAATGTTCTTATAATCCAATCTTAGGTATTTGAAAGAAATTCTCATAATTGTTTCATGTGTGGGAAATTTTTTTAGTAATCTAATCATAAATATTCAAGAATTTGTTTTATAATCTTTATACTAGACATAGTTTATGAAACTTTTATTCTTCGAAAATTAGAGAATCTCCTGTACAATAGGATAGTCTGTATAATAATACGTTTCAACAGATGTAATTAATAATACTAAGTTAGTTCTCTCTATGCTAACATTGTTAAATTCAAAATAATCTAGATACAATTAACTAAATTGTATTTTATAAAACCTTTTTTATACTATTTTGTAATAGGAAAATACTATAATTCATTTCCATAGTGCAATAAGAAGACAAAAATTATCAAAACTATGTGATATATTAGCGCAATACATTTCGAACAATCTGATCACACATATACTTGTAAAGAACACTTATATATAAAAATAAGAAGTCAACTAGACTGGAACATGTACCAAAATGGTTACAGAAACAAACGGAAACAAACGACCCGATAAGAGTAGAGGATAAACACAGATCATCCTCTAATGTCAAACATATAAATGAGATAGGCCATAAGATTGATCTTAACTCGTTTTTTGTGTTGTATAAAAGTGTAAAAAGGCGTATACTAAGGTTTATTGAAGCCTTAGACATACAAGAATTCAAACCCCCTTTGTGTATTCAAAAACAGTTTGTTCTCACCTTAAAGCTACCCTGGTAATATTAGCTTATTATCCAGAGTGATTAGGTTTCAAATTCTTCTCATATTATTATTATTATTATTATTATTATTATTATCCTTGTCTCCTCTTAATTCTCATTTATAGTCTAGTTGACATTTTATTTTTATATATAAATGTTCTTAACAAGTATATGTGATCAGATTGTTCGAAATGTATTGCACTAATATATATCACATAGTTCTGATAATCTTCGTCTTCTTATCACGTTATCGAAATTTATCAAAGGAACTAATTGCTTTATAATTCATTTATTTATTTCAAAACATGTAATATTCAGTAAAAAGTACCACAATATTTAATACTTTTGTTTTGTTTTACTACATAATAATTATTGAGGTAATTACTTGGTCATTGTTGTTGTATTGTATTTGTTAATGTCTGGTCGTTATTCCTTCATTCATATTCAAAGAACGTTTTGAAAGAATCAATGACTGATTCAACTTTTTTAGCTTAACATATCAATTATTGAAATACTGAGTAGTTAAAAATAATAGTAGTGGATGTGCACTGCTTAGGAGTCCCATAATAGGATGAAACGGTCATCCAGTGCTTCCAGGTTTTCCATGGTGATCTCACTTCAATTGACTCATGATTTCAATTACGAAAATACTGAAATCTCCATAAAACCCCTTCCGATCTATAAATAATGTAATGAAAATGGTCATCAAATTTTATCTATGCAAGATTTGTTAGGAACTATTTGTTCAGTAATGTTTCACAGTAATAGTGTTTTCCTAAGATATAGGAAAATCTAATCAAATATAGATACTTCTCTTTTTATATTATATATGCTTGATCAAAACGACTGAATTTATGCTGTACGATGCTCATATAAACTGGTAAAGTTAAGTGTGTTCTCTACTACGTTAACTGTAAAATACATGAATTTAGTTTTAACAAACTTTATGAAACGTCTGTTAAAAAGAAATTTATACAACTAAGAAAGTTAATTTCAGAAGTTGGTCTTACTTGTGATTTATGAATAATGAAAACTGATACGGATTTAAACTGTATACACTGTTCATATAGGAATTCATATACGAAATAACATTTGTTTCCCATTCAATATAGAATCCACTTAGTAATGGATGCTCATTTTTTGATTTCCATAGATGTTTTGCATGATTCAGTTCGATTGGTTGACTCCAGAAAGTCTTCGTAGTAGAAAACCAATTTTGAAGTTGATAACTTATATTTGATGAATGAAATACAATCTTATCAAACCATTTGATAAAAATTGAATCATATTTTCTAAACGTTTGAGTCTAAAATAATTGAGAAAGTGATATTAAACTAAATAGTAGAAGAGTTATGCAAGTGAATGGTTATTGATCAAATCGAAATTAATAATGAGACCGAAATCAATTTTCAAAGAATATTTGGTTGATAATTATATTAGTAGTTGCTTGAACTCTATAAGTAGTATATTATTACGTCAGTTAAATCTACATGATTATTATCAAACTTGGGATACTTGAAAAAAATTCACTTGGCTAACGAATCGAAAGATTTTGATGATTGTTCATTTCTCGGTCAGTCGTCATTAAATATTAGCATGGATTAATGAACCATTGAAAACTAGAGAGCTGTCTTTTGATTGAAGGTGGTTATTAGAGCGTAATCTCATACCTGTATCAATCAATAGTTTAACTGATTAGTGATAGTTCTGCAATGATCAAGAACACAAGTAGAGACGACCAAATGCATTTTATTATAACATCAAAGAATATCCTAGCAAAATCTTAAAACCATATAGCAAATGCTTCATTTGCAAAATGTCAATCAATTGTCTCACACGTCTTCGTTTCTTCGCTTCCACAGCAATCGTTCTGTTATCGTTCTCTTTTCTCCGATTTTATATACCTTCAGCCGCCAGAAAATAATATAAATTTTATGGATGTTTTGAACATTCATTGTTGTATGTCATAATTCATGTGTTCAAATGGGTCTATAATCTGTTCAGTCTTGATGACTTTGTTTCGTATAAGTTTGAGTTGCATAACAAACTATATATAAATTCATGTCCGTTAAAGGATGTAGTAGCTGCCATGACACAAAAAATGAATGAATAACACTTTGGTATTCAAAGAAATGAGTGCTTGGTTAAAGTTTCCGTGTGAAGATTGAAGCCAAATCTCATGGCAATCCAGCTGACTTATTCCCAATAGAATGAAATGAAGGTCGTGGATTAATGTGATAGCCAAGATCTATATTTATTACAGATTTTAGCACCTTTACTCCGCTTCATGTTTTGTTTATGGATTAGAGTTAAGATTAACGATTTAACGTTGTTTCTGTAATTGTTGACAACATTTCAGAGTCATTAAAAACAATTTATCTATATACTTCAAATATATAAAAGTTATTTTATATATTTTTAAGTCTTGTATTTGTGTCAAACATTGCATAATTTCGATAGGTAAGCACTTGGGTCTAACTAATTACTTATGTATTTCTCATTTGTAAACAACCATAGTAATGTAGAATCTACTGAAAAAGAAAGGAAATAAGGGTAATATTTCGGTTGTCAACAAACTAATTGTTTATTTAGCTTGATAGAAGCATTTCAAAAAAACATTTGTAGACATTATGATAGTAAAAACAAAACATCGCAATAAATCTCATCCATCACTTTACTACAAAATGATCAGTCAGTCAAAACTGAAAAAAGCCTAATATGAAGGAAAATAGCTGGAAACGTATTGACAACTAATCATACATAGGGGCCCAGATGACAGGCTGATTTGAATTTTGTGAAACAATTAAAATGCGCTCATCAGGTTGTTGACAGTGTATTAGAAAACTTCGTAATTAAATTGTTTGGTCTATAGAGCAAGAGTGAATTAAAATAATACCACTTTGTTAACATGTGGCTATTGTTGCGAGACTAGCATTCAAGTAAATCTGCAAAGTATGAATCGGGTTTTAAGTAATACAAAATGTAATGTCATATAAAAAAGAACAGGTTTTTGTAACACAAACTTGTTAAATATAAAAATGTTTTAATAGTTTAATTCATGAGTTGATCTAAGCTAGAGTACCATTGAAAACTTGGAATTTCTGAACAACTGTTTCTCAGCGATGTTCATCCACAATCCCATCCACAGGACTTGAACTATTCAATTCACTTCAAATTCCACAAATCCTAATGCTAAAAATAAGAAATACTTTGATTAAGGTAAGGTATAATTATATTATTTTGAATTCATAATCTAACATTTGTTTTGACCAAAATAAAAGCAGTGCGCATCCACGATCCCGCTCTCGCGAGATTCGAACCCAGGATCTACTAGTCTCGCGCGCGAGCACTTAACCGATAGACCACTGAGCCGGTATCCAACGGTGTTAATGTATAACTTCAACCACTCCACGATGTTTAAGCAACCGTTCACCGATTCTTTTCAGTGAGTTGATATCTCTACAACAAACTTGTTTGAACTCCACTAGTCGCTGCTTACCACTAGAGCTCAAGGAAAGATCTCTTGAAGTCAGTCAGTAGTGAGCATATGATTATAGATCAGAAGGGTTTTTGTGGAGACTTCAGTATTTTTTCATGGTTGAAATCATGAGTCAACTGAAGTTAGACCACTATGAAAAACCTGAAAGCACTGGATGATCGTTTCATCCTATTCTGGGACTCCTCAGCAGTGCGCATCCACGATCCCGTACTCGCAACATTCGAACACAGGATCAACTATTTTGTAAAATTAATGTAATGCATAACAACCTGTTTGATAATTATGTCAGTCTATTGTCAGTAAATAATTTATTCTCGCATATTCTCCATCAAACTGACATTATCAGTGAAGTACATTTATATGATTTAAGTAAATGCGAAAAAAAAGAAAATTGATATTATATAAAATCTTAAAAACATTCATTCTTATTATGTTGCCGTAAATAACCAAAGCGCACATAAAAACATGGCATAGATTATTACAATTTCTCAAGATTTTACTTATTAAGAAATTATGATTTATATTTGTATTGAATGTTTTTTAGCTAGGTAATCATTAGTTACAAGGCAGGCCCTCACTCGGAATCCTCAAAGCCAAAGGAGAAGAGGATGATTAAAGAACACATTACGCCGAAAAATGGAAACAAATCTGAGAAGAATGAACAATAACTGGATAGAACCAGAGATGAAGGCCTAGGACAAAGTGGGTTTGGAAATGCTGGTCGGTGGTCTATGCTCCATTGGAGGTAACAGGCGTAAGTAAGTTAGTTAACAACACTACTTCTATAGATTTTGTGGTGATTTAGTAAAATTTATATCAAAGTAGTTTAGATATTTAAGTATATATCCTTTTCAAGATAATAATTTACATTGAAATACGTGTGGTTTGTTGATTTTATATTTCATTTCTTAGATCTACAATCACAGTTTCAATCTGATTTGTTCATTGCACTATTCCACATGGATTTTGTTCAGTTACTTTCTTGCAACATTATCTCATGGTGTTAAGCTAATGCAAAATGTCAATCGATTGTCTTGAAGTTCACTGTTCCTTTTGCAAATATCAGTCAACCGTATCAGACTTCATTGTTCCTTCGTTTCTTTGGCTATCATTTACTGTTCTCGTCCTCTTTTATTTGATCTTCTTAATCTTCTGTCTCCGGGCGTTTCACTTTCGATTGATGACACATATTACTTATATCCGTCGAGATTAGTAGTGCACACCACAGTTATTCAATTTATACACTTCACTATACTATTTAGATAATATATTTAGACCGTTTCATTTAAACTTTCTTGGGATCGGCGAATTCTGTTTTTCTAGCATACTATTTAATTCCATCAACAATCAACAATTCCTTTTTTGAAATTTACACGGACGATATAAATAACACAATTTTAGTAGCACTAAAATATATATCGTTTCAAAATTTAGGTGATAATTTAATATAGCTAAAAATCCAATAATACTTTCATTCATTATTAAAATATATTGTAAGCAAAGATGGATGTTGGATAAATGAAGAATCCAAGGCTCATGTTACGTCCTATTCGGGACTTTTCAGGTGAATGAACCTGCATCTCGAATTTACGTTCACTCCGGCACTCCAACCCAGTACTGTTTGCTTCAAATACCATCACGTTATCGAACTACCTACTGATTTCAGAAGCCTAAAGGAATGTACATCGAGGAGAAGTTCTAGTTCACTTTTCCAGTTAATTGTTTGAACCTTCCCAATGATGTTTCGGACTGCAATCGATCAATCTCTTATTAGTACATATCCATCCTGTGTGGATTGCTTCAATATTGACATAAGTCACAAGCATTATAAGCGGTGATGGATGGATGCTAGTAGTGGAATACAGAAAGCGCGTTTCATTTTATTTAGGACTCGTTAGATGAATATACTTGACTGTGACTTAAGGCAATATCGAAGCAATCCACACAGGAAGCACATATACCAATATGAAACTGATCAGTTTACTTTTTTAAGCATCAACGAAAAGATTCAAACAATTAATATGAAAATAAAATAAAACACATTGTTACAGATATGACAAATAGATCAGGGTTTTAATTAGAAACGAAGATAGTTTCAATGAGTATACACACAACTCAACATGATAATACAGTTCATATTGAGTCAATAAAAACAATAACATATGTAATATGAATTATAAATATATCAACATATGGTTTCATAGGTTTAAATAGATTATGTTTTCTATATCTCAATAATCATCATTATTGACTATATTCAAATATTCGCGCTAATTTTCATATCAATTTTACTTTATGTAAACTAAATGTACAATAATGTTATTATTTCTAGTTTATATAAAATAATCTACCAATATATGAATATCATAATTTCTATGTGGAAGACAATGAAAATAAGACGACTTTTTCAGAAATAATCAGAAAATCTGAATTGTTAATTTGTACACTAGAAATGTTATACAAATAATTCCATTTTGGATTACAATAATAAAGTGTAGGGAAAAATGAATGATAACAACGAACATTTTTTTAATACCACTGATTTATACATAGAAATCAGGTTATAACTTTTCAATTTTAGCAGCAAGAAGGCAAAAACGCTAAGTTCGACATCCTCATTGAGTCACATCCTTCAAAAGACCTTCAAACCAATGGTTATGCAGCTTTTGAATAACAATGAATGTTGGCTAGCTGTCGAATTCGGAGATTGTGGTTTGCCATTCTTGAGACTTGTCAGACGGATTTGTCTGGACCACAGAGTTTATGTTCATTGCCAGATTCGAGCCGACTACTGTTCACTCTGAAAGCCATTGTGTTCTACATCTTGCTTCTGAATCCAGATAACCATGTACTTGTGCGAAATGTACTGGGTTCGAGTCTCTGAGTGATTGTCGACTCTGGGATTTAGGTACAAAGCAAGCGTCCTGGATTCCATCTATATTCACTAATGATTAATAATGCTTTTGAACTAGTGGGAGTATCGAATCCATCTATGTATCTGTTCTATGTAATTATTTTTACATTAGATCTAGACATATGTTAAACAATTTTATGTCTTGAGATCTTAGTAATAAATTTATTTATTTACAAACAGTTCTATCAACTTGAGCTGTAATTACAGTTGTAAATGTATTACTGATTTAGATTATATTTAGTGTCTAGGTGGGTACATTAGGAATTGTTAGTTTTTTCATTCTTCTCTATAATAAATCAGATTTTCTTTCCTTTTCCAATAAAAATAACACAAAAATAATGATAACTAGTTAGTGAAAAACTATTTCTAATTTCATTGTTATTTGAAAGTTCAAGACTCAATAAGGTACGTTAATACCTTCTTGATAATATAAAAAAATTTAGTATTGTCAGTTAACAAATCAATGATCTGTTGAATTTCCTCTAGAAAAAAAAGAATAAGTGTTGTTACCGTATTGGCAACTTTAGTTAATTAGTCATATAGTTAAGTTCAAGATTTCCATACCGGTATGAATAGATTTCAACCATGGGAAAGAATATCATAACTTAATAATATAAGTGTTCAGCCACATTTTAGGTTTACATGAAAACAAAATTGCATAATATACTTTGAATTTTATTTATATCAAACTGCGTTGACATACGAATTGAGAAAATTAATCAGACAAACTAATAAGTGAATCATTTATATATAAAGATGGATAATGGCTAGCAGTGGAATCCAGGAGGCGCTTTCGTCCTATTTGGAACTAGTCATCTGGAAGTACCTGCATCTCAGAGTTTCTGTTCACTCTGGGACTCGAACTCAATGTCTTTAACTTCAAATTTCATCGCGTTATCCACTCAGCTACTGAGTCCTAATAGTGACCTGTTTGTACAATGGGGGAGGATTTAATTCACTTGATATTATTTGCTTGTATCTTCCCATTAAAACTGCAATCGATCAGTCTCTCAATATCAAGGCAGTTCACACAGAATTCACATATGCATACAAAAGACTGAGAAATTGCAGTCCAAAACATCATTCAGAAGATACAAGCAAAGCATACCAATTAAATTAAATGAAATATTTGTTCTTCAAAGAAAAGTTTTTTTTAATAGTTGAGATGATGAATCAATTGAAGCTAGGACACCATGGAAATCTTGTAAGCACGGCCGTTTCGTTCTATTGTGGGATTCCTCAGCAGTGCCCTCCCACTCTACCGCCTCGCGAGATTCGAACCCAGGACCTATCAATCTCGCTCGTGTGCGCTTAACCACTAGACCGCTGAGCCAGTTGGCATCAAACGGTGTTAATGTCCAAATTCAACCAATCCACGAAATTGAGCGACACATCCATCATTGTCTTCAATTAGTTACTATCGCACAACAGATCCGGTCGAACTCCACTGGTCACTGCTTCTCACTAGAACTCCAAAAAATACCTCTTGAAGTCAGTCACTAGTAAGCATATGTTGATTAGTATCAGAAGGGATTTTATAGATATTATAATAATCTTAATAATTGATATTTTACAACAACCAATCATTATTAGGTCAATGAAAATTTCAAAATTCTCCCATATTTTTTATTGGTCACTTAATATTATATATATACAGAGAGAGAATACTATTAGTTAACAAATAGATGAGTGTCATTTTAAAAAAATTTATTTATTAAATCTATTCCTTAATTACTCTAATTCTATTTCCTACCTAAATGAATAAAAATAAACATAAAACATGAAGATGATGTTTTTTGAATACCATGCTCGGAAGTATTTCTTTTATTTAATCGATTGTTTATATTGAAAAACTTGAGAAAAACAAACATAGCAACAACTAAACAACTACTATCTCTATCTATCTCTATATATATAATGTTATCAGAATATTGTCCATTTAATCATTCAAGTCATTATGTTGCTAATGGATTTATATGGTATTTCTTTTCATGGTATATGATTACATCCAATATTATTGGTATTATATTTAGTAGTTTATGTTTTTTAGTTTTATTAAAACATCCACGTGTATTTGCCTCAACAACACGCGCATGGTTTATTACATTAACAGCTAGTGATTTTTTTATATTATTAATTGCTGCTAATGATATGTATGCTGAAGTTATATTTACTCATATGTATCATATTATATTAGGTAATATATTTGGACGTTATACATGTTTAATACGAGTGATAACCATTGTATGTTTATTATGGACATCAAATTTATTACAAACTGGTTTATCTATAGAACGTTTAGCATCAGTTATATCACCATTAAAAACTCGAATCATATTTACAGGGAGAGTAACACGTTTTACAATTAGTTTATTAATAACATTTTCATGTTTATCTGGTATATTCATAACAATAGTATCATCGAAACCATCTTCTTCAAATATTTTTATTATAGCCAATGATAATATTAATAATAATACTATTACTAATTATACAATAGATTATGAAGCATTAGTATCATGTGAACGAAGAAATTCCACGGAATTATTTGGGAATACACATGAAAGTATTGATTTAACTAAACTTGTTTATAATTTAGATTTAATTTTATTTCGTGTAATTCCATTTATAACAATGTTAATTTCATCAGCTGTAATAGCTTCATTAGTACGTCGTCAACGTCGTAAACGTAATCGTTTAACACGTATTTCATCAATTGTTCAAAAAAGAAATCGTTCTATTGGATATAATCGTGAAAGTCGTGCATCATTATTATTACTTACAATGAATATTATAACATTATTAACTAATCCATTATTTTTATTATTTGAATTATTTGATGGTGAAGGTAGTGAAGGTAGAACAGCAGCAAAACTTACTGGTGATTTATGTATATCATGGACATTGAGACAATTTTTTAATTCATTAATTTATTTTGGTAATCAAAATAATTGGATATTATATTTAGCATTTGGTGCACGTTTTCGTATTCATATTGTAAATATGTTAATGTGTCGAGGTGGTAGACAAAGAAAACAATGTCCTGATAAACCTAAATTGACAATTTCTGAAATTCCATTAGATGCTAGTACACATTTATTAAATTTAGATTATCCAAGAAATAGTAGTCAAAATGATACATTACAATTAACTTCATCAAACAATATGTTGCATTGTAATTTAGATGGTGTTTAAATACATCTTCAAGAATCACAATGCTTTACAACTCTAGCCATTTAAAGGATTAATAATATTTATTCTGAAATATTACAATGAAAAGTCAATGTTTACTTAATGTATCCAAAAACTTCAGGGAACATTTGTGAAAACTATAATTAACTACATTGATTATTTGCATTCTCAGTAATGAAATCTATCATAACTTTTCATTCATTACATTGAATATACAATGATAAACATTCCATAACAAGTAAGGGTAAATATGTTTATCTAATTCTGATCAATAAAACGCTTATTATAGTATATGTGAATCTTTAGATCATAATCATAATAATAACAGTAATGATCTAGTTGACAACATTACTCTTACAACGGATTTAAAATGTTTGTCGACCATTTCGATAAAGGTTGTATATATACATGTATGTATTTGGTTTTGTCGTTCTTGTAACATAACATTACACTAAAAATACCTTTTTTCCCAATTTTAAATAAAACTAACGCTTTTAGTAATCAAAATTAAATGATTTTAATGTGTTATATTAAAAGGTTTATTGTTTGTTTGTTTTCCCCTTTTTCATGTAACGTCACGTTGTGAATAATGAACAAACGATGCCATATAGTCAGAAAGGGGTTTTATGGATATTGTAGTAGTTTAATAGTTGAATTCATGAGTCAGTTTAAGATAAACCACCATGAACAACCTAGAAGCACTGAACGGCCATTTCGTCCTAATATAAGACTCCTTAGCAGTTCGCGTCCACGCGTTCTGGCGCGCAAAAGCTCAGTCTTCAGACCACTGAGCCAGTCGACATCTGACGGTGCTTATATCTAATTTCAACCAATCCACGAAATTGTGACACCATCTACTACTGTCTTTAGTAAGTTACTATTACGCAACAGACCCGATCGAATTCAACTGGTTATAGGTTTATTAATTTTCAACAGTGTACTATTAAGTGATTATGATGCATAGTTTTGTAGCATCGGTCAGAAATTTATATCCATATATCTAAAAGCAATATATGGTGTGAACGTTTAACAATGAGATTATTATTATCCTGTACTGGTCTATAAACTAATATTATTGAACTTCATTTTAAAAAATTAAAAAAAAACATAAATTTAATATCGACGCTAATTAGTTTCCTGTTGACTACCTCCAACCACCATTTTATCTTAATGAAGTGTATTAGTATTAAAAAATTCGCATTTAAATTATTCTGTTTGTATATTTTCTAAACGCAATAAAATTCCACATTTAGTTGTGGTAAATCAATATCTCAATGATTTCATTAGGTCTGGATAAAATTAAGTTTTGTGTAGTAAGTATATAGTGAAAATAAAGTGTGTATGATAAATTAATTTTTCTAATGCAATACAATTTTTGATCATAAATAATTCATTGTCATCTTGTGAACAAAATACATTTAAGTAGTATTTTGCAAAACGTTTTAAAGGATAAAATGAAGGTAGTATTGAGTTTATACATTAATCAACATATGAATAAAATTAATTTACAATATGAGTTATTATTAATTATAAATATATTCTATAATATTTTTTACTACTATCGTAAATTACATTTAATTTAGATGAATGAAGTTGTAATTAATACAATCAACTGTGTCAGTAACGAAACAGTCACCGATGTCTTTAGATGTGAATGGCGCTAAATCATAACGTGCCTGATTATAAAAGTTGTTAACTGTAAAGTATAAAAAAACTGATCAAGAAAGTTTTATCCTCATCGTATATATTTTTAATAGTTACTTCATCAAAAAGCTATTTCTTGAATAAAATTCATATCTCAAAACAGAACATAAAATACTTAGTGTCTAGATAATGCTACACGTTTGGTTTATGCAATCTAGTGGAGTGTATTTTCTATCATCTGATTAAAATTAGTTACACATTTGACTAAATATAGCCGTCTTCATGGTATATATTGATGTTTATTGTAAAAATGTTCATAATTTGCTTTCTTCCCACATGAGATACAATTTAATTTATTGCTGCAGTTGGAGGTGACGTTTATCTACTAATTTAAGCTAGTTACCCATCTTGAGGCATAAAACTTCAATCAAGGATCTCCGAACAAATCTGTTCTTGGTTCTACTTTTTAGTTGTTACCAAGTCCTACTAATGCTCTTATTGTATCCCCCTAATTTACAGACCATCTGTTTCTTGGTCTGCATTCATTCCCATCGTCACGAGGATTACAAGTTGATGCTTACCCAATGATGCAATTTGGTAGTTTTTCGCATATATTCCAGCGTTTCATATTGATATATAACTGAAATGGCAGTAGGTTTTTTCCCTAACAGAACAGAATATTGTTGATGGTCTCACACAAATCGCTCTGGAGTGTCGTTCGAAGACAGCTACTACTATTTCGACGGTGATTGTTGTTGTGCTTAAATTCTCAAAACCATTCAATAGAATTGTTTAGACATTATTGTTGAAAATTTGGACTTTTGTCTTGGGTAACAGTTCTTTGAAATGTCAGATATTTTTCAGTTGTAGAAATGCTGCTCTTCGCTTTGTTATTCGTGTTCATTCCTTTCCATCAAACCATTTTTATTTGGCATAATGCTGTACATGTATCTAAAAACTACCACCTCTTCCAGAGCTTCTCCAATCAGCGTGATTTAGTAGGTACCTAATGTATTGTTCTTCAGTATCTTCCTTTATACCTTGAAAGTCTAGGTGCTACACTAGATGTGTTTTGCCGCATTCATTACTGTTTATGCAATAGCAGGCATCAGTCATCTGCAAATCTTAACTCAGTAAGCTGTTTGTCAGTTATCTGCTGTAATTTATATTTTTCCTGAGATATCAAGGTCTTCGCAGTCCTGCCAACAGCTAGAAGAAAAAATATAAGATAAGATCATACAATTTTGTTTGAGTCCAGACTTCATTTTAAAATAATCTGTGGTATGTTTGCTGAAATTATCACTTGCATAATAAATCATCTGATAGACAAAATCGTTTTCTGTAATACCACGATATTCCTAATTTTCGAAATCTAGAATGAAGTAATAAAACACTTTACAACAGTCCTTTTGAAGATAATATTTTTTTCATCACATAATACCACACTCCTACATAATTTACAAACTAAATGTATACTAGAAAAAAAAAGGAATTATCAGAGGAAAAATGATCATTTACAATGATATAAGGTTCGATAGTTTTATTTTTTCGATAAACCATTTATTCAATGAACTGGTTTTATAGATTACAAAACCACTGTTATAACAATGGTTATTGTTTTTAGTTTGAAAATGATTTTTATCAGTTACTATGTTAACCATGTAAATGAATGGATACATTTCCGTTTAAATCTATGACAACTGTTTTTATATTAGATATGATTTTGTTTTATGTAAATTTATCTATGGAAAGAAAGAAATATGAATTTGGACATATAGACGTTTATGAAAAAGTGTACACATGTATTGCATATTAAATAAAAGTCAAATATATAACTAATAAGTATGTTTCATAACTTTGTTACAGAACCTTTCTTGTTTTCGAACTAGTGAACCTATATGTTCAACATATAATACATAAGTAATTGTATTGTAAAATTCTTCGTTATTTAACTCAGTCAGTCAGCTACAACGTGGGACCAGGCATATATATGCATCGGTCCAAGTTGCCATATCTCGTTAGCTTAACAAGATGAACACCGAATTCATAGAAGTAGTAAATTAAGTAGTCGTATTATATAAAAGAAAGGCTGTATATAAGGACATAGTACCGGGAGGATCAACATTCTTTAGTAACATATTGTAACTGTGAATGTCTTAATAAATTCAATATTGATTATGGTGTATGTTTGATAAAGTGATTAGTTATTTATAGTTGATAAAAACTACTTTCTAGTTTTTGGGAAAAGTTAAAAAAACAAAATCAATTAAGACTTACATCACATAAAATGTGCAGTAGAAATACCCTTGCATAGTGTTCAGAAAGCTTAAAATTGTTAGGGAAGTTTCTTTTTGTAGACGCAAAAACTTTTAATGCACCAAATATTCTTGTAATAAACAAATTCTACATAATACCTAAGTTACTTGATCAATTGTTTCTATTTACTTAGTCACTGATAGAAAAATCACTTTATTAATAGTCCATTGAATAAAAAGTGAGGTGGTGAATTAAAAATGAGAAAATAACTAAAAATATTTGATTTCAATAGTTGAGATAATGAGTTAATTGAAGCTAGACCACCATGGAAAGCCTGTAAGACCTGGAAGGCCGTTTGGTCTTATTGTGGGGCTCTTCAGCTGTGCATATCCATGATCCCGCCTCACGAGATTTGAACTCGGGCTCTATCAGTTTGGATTATTTAAATCCTCGTCGATTTAATATTCCTAACTCTCTTGGAAATATATTCATAAAAATTTCTTAGGAGATTGTGAATTTCGCAGAAGATATTTATGGCTATGAGAAAGATTTATAAAGATATCAATAACATAAATAAATTCACATTCACTACTGAAGTTATATAAGGATATTTCTTTAATATTAAGCTCAGAAAATTATTAATAAGACATTAGAAGTTAATTAGTTCATATTACTTTCACAACATTATAAGTTAGATTACTTTTCCTAATTTTGTACAGTTGACCCTATTGATCAAGTAAAAGTGATTTCAAAATCTCTTACCCTTACTTCTTTCTACAATAAACTTTTACCAGGATAATCTTATATATTTCAGATATAATAAATATGTGATTATATAATTAATATCGTTTACATATACAATGATAAGTTAACAATAGAGTTAATAATTATCACTCATAACAAACATTACGTTTTATTCATTGATGCAATATTTGTTTTTATTCATATAATTTTACTATAAACAACTGAATGGGATTGGGTATATTGAAAGTTAAAGAAATAAAAGTTATAAATATATGAGATGAGCTGAGTGAATTCTGTCTTATCAATAAAATATATTAAATAGATCAGTGAGCCAGCATCTTACCGTGGTAATATTGGACTTTAATCGATCTACGATATTACGCGACCGTCCACCATTGTCATCATTGAATAACCACCTGTACGACAGACATAGTTGAATTCCACTGGCCAGGGCTTCTCACTAGAACTCAAGGAAACTCATCTTGAAGCCAATCATTATTGAGCACATGATAATTATCAGTATAGGGTTGTGAAGATCCCGCGTACGGGGTAGTGGATGCGCACTGTTATGGGGTCCCATACTATGACTACACGGTTGTTCAGTGCTTACAGGTTTTCACTGGTGTTCCAACATGTGTCTATTTATAATAATAATTTGAACCCAACAATCTCCACAACCCCATACTTATACTAAATAGTTATAATATTCTGGATATAGTTACAGAATCTTTTCTAATTTACTGACATAGGATAAGTGAAATTGCTTGAAATAATATAATTTATATAGTGCTTTAGAAAGCCGAATAACACAAGGATTACGACAATATGATAAACTACTTGATAATCAATAATTCCTTGAAGGACTATCCAGACATCTTCTCAATATATAAACTATTTCCTATTAGTTACAAAAAAAAGACTATCACGTATCATTTCATCTATTAAAAAATAATAAATGAACACTATTTTAGGCTTTAAATCATTAAAATAATCATTATATTTTTCTATATACAATACTACAT